GGTGGATCACGAGGTCAAGAGATCAAGACCATCCTGGTCAACATGGTGAAACCCCGTCTCTACTAAAAATACAAAAAAATTAGCTGGGCATGGTGGCGCGTGCCTGTAATCCCAGCTGAGGCAGTAGAATTGCCTGAACCCAGGAGGCAGAGGTTGCGGTGAGCCGAGATCGCGCCATTGCACTCCAGCCTGGGTAACAAGAGCGAAACTCCGGCTCAAGAAAAAAAAAAAAAAAAAAAAAAGGAAGAAATTGATTACAGAAAGGAGACTGATCACATAAAGATACTGAGAATAACAGGAGCCAGGTTTCTCAGCATTAGAGAAAGGAGTTAAAGATATGGACGTGGTGAAGGCTACAGTGAATCCTGAAGTGTCGGATTATAATTGATGGTATTTTCATGGGAACTTATGGTTTAATTATTTTATTTATTTATTTTTGAGACAGAGTCTTGTTCTGTCGCCCGGGCTGGAGTGCAGTGGCGTCATCTCGGCTCACTGCGGCCTCCGCCTCCCAGGTTCAATCGATTCTCCTGCCTCAGCATTCTGAGTAGCTAAGATGACAGGGGCACACCACCATGCCCACCCAATTTTTGTTTTTTTGAGAAAATGCCTCACTCTCTTGCCCAGGCTGGAGTGCAGTGGCATGATCTCAGCTCACTGCAGCCTCCACCTCCCAGGTTCAAACGATTCTCCTGCCTCAGCCTCCAAGTAACTGGGACCATGGTTTTATTATTTTATTTTTTATTTATTTTTGAGACAGAGTCTTGTTCTGTCACCTAGGCTGGAGTACAGTGGTGCAATCTTGGCTCACTGCAGCCTCCACTGCAGTGACACTCTAGTTGTCTGCCACCATGCCCAGCTAATTTTTGTATTTTTATTGGAAATAGGGTTTCACTATGTTGGTCAGGTTGAACTCCTGACCTCAAGTGATCCACTCGCCTTGGCCTCCCAAAGTGCTGGGATCACCGGCATGACCCTTCATGCCTGGCCTATTTCTGAGGATGACATTAGTATTTGGATTAGAATGCATCCTGAGAAGGATAGTCTCTGTCCATTTAATATGTTTTAAATTAATAATATGAGCTTGAATATCTGTACTAGAAATCACTCTGCACACGCTCAGGATTGACTGTTCATGTGATCAGTTAGGCAGATTATCGCTTCTCCTCCTCTTTCCTACCTACTCCCTGTTAAAGCCAACGAAGATGACTATCAGATATAAATGCTGCTTTTCCTCATTTGGCCTGTTAAGTTGACAAGTGAAGCGGAATCTTATAACTAAAAATGATTTGAGGATACAGTAAGTTTCAGTTATCTTACCATGCTGCTTCCCAGATGGATTATCAAGACTTAACGGTATCAAATGATCCAATTCTGATGTCAGGAGGGAAGCTAACCACTTATCAAATGTAGGTATGAAAGAATTACATTTTTGTCACAAAGTATTATTTAGCTATAGAACAAACAGTGCACAGGATCAGAATGTGTTCATGTGAAGATGGGTAAAGGTGAGTCATGAGCTAGTCCTGCTAGGATGCAGTAGAATATCGAAGTCGGACAGAGAATCTCAGTGCCTATTTCTTAATAAATACTTCCTTCTCCTGGTGATGCAATTTGTGTGCAACACACAGTAACAAGAAGTGGAAAATAAATGATCTGTCTCAATTACGGCTTTTCTTTATGAAAACAAAAAAGATAGGCCAGGCATAGTGGCTCATGCCTGTCATCCCAGTGCTTTGGGAGGCCAAGGTGGGCGGACTGCCTGAGCCCAGGACTTCAAGACGAGCCTGAGCAACCTAGTGAGACCCCGTCTCTACAATAAAGACAAAACAGATGGACTCTCCTCAGCAGCACATATATTAAAATTCTAATGACACAGAGCAGTAAATTTTAAAAAATGTACTATTTTTTAAATTCCACAAGTATTTTTTCAAATTATGATTCATATCATCAAAATCTTTAAGGTGTGCTATATATAAGACACATATAAAATGTTCAAGGAGCACTTGGAGTAGACATATACCTTTCCACCATAATATTAATGTCTCATAACATTAATAACATGAAGAAGTTAAAAATGAGTCTTTTTTTTTTTTTTCCCCGATGGAGTTTGTCTTGTTGCCCAGGCTGGAGTGCAATGGTGCAATCTCAGCTCACTGCAATTGAATGGAATCATTGGGTTCAAGTGATTCTTCTGCCTCAGCCTCCTGAGTAGCTGGTACTACAGGCAAGCACCACCATGCCCAGTTAATTTGTATTTTTAGTAGAGACAGGGTTTCTCCATGCTGGCCAGGCTGGTCTCGAGCTCCTGACCTAAGGTGATCCACCTGCCTCAGCCTCCCAAAGTGCTGGGGTAACAGGGCTGAGCCACTGCGCCCAGCCAAAATGAGTCTTAAAATTACTGTTTAAATATCTGTTCAGACCTTTGTTTGGCACCTATGGAAGAAAGCTAATGCACGAAAAAGAAAAGAACAATCAAGATTTCTACCTCTTTGTAGTTAACACGCCCTTTATGAAGCTGAAGAAACTCCAGTGCTCTGTGTCCTGAGAGAAAAAATACATAAATCAATTAAGTTCAAGTATTACTGAAAATGTAACTTAGTCAAGATCATTTCAAAAGACAAACATGTAATTTTGTGGTTGTATCTGTCAGGGATACAGGAAATGAAGTAAGTTTGCACTCACTGGCAATCTGCATTAGGTATAATCAGATTTGTGCAGTATTTATACAGCACAAAGCAAGTTTTGACGGTGATTTAGTTTCTGCTTAACTATTAAACAGCTCTATGACCTTTAGTGCTATTCAACCTCTCTAGACCTCAGTTCCCTCCTACAGAAAACTGAGGTTAAAAGATACCCACTGGTTGAAATAATAACTGCTAAGTGACAGAAAATAAACGCTAAATGACAAGCACACTGGCTGACACCTGGTAGGAAGTCAAGAAACTGTCATCATCATATTTCGTTTCAGTACTGAGGTAGATAAACCTAAGTATAAAATACAATGTAACACCTAACCTATGGACTGCACCAATGATCCTCAAAGGTTTTTCATCACTGGACCACTGTGGAAGAACAAATATCAGAAGGCTGCTGACTCCACCCCACACCCACCTATACAGACACCCACCCATAGCCTGAATCTCCCAAGAATGCGTAAGAAGACTAACATTCCCTGCGAAGTGACATTTGAAGGTGATACCTTATTTACGTTGTGAATCACATCTAACTTTTAAAATTCATGTAACAAAAAAACATAGCCACCACTATATTATAAACATTAATATCATAAAAATCACAACCCCAAATACAAATGACCTGTGTATAGGAGTCCAGTGATTTATGCTGAATGAGCCATTTCTAATTAACTCTCTCATAATGCCAACTTTCCACTCAGGCTCTTATAAGAAATGAAAAAGTAAACCAAAATATTTATAAAATCATCTAATTTATTAGTAAATAAAAGATGGAGTTTTAGTCTTCCTCTATGTTAAAAAAAAAAAATTCTCAGAATCTGTGCAGATGCTATTTCAGGAGTTGCCATCAATTATGTTCACATAAATATTATTCTTCAAATATCCATTAAGACCTTTGTTTGGTACTTACTGAAGAAAGGCAAGCAATTATTTGGTTTTATTAAAATTTCAGATGCAATCTGTCTTGGAAATTTTTAAACTAAGAATTAAAAGCCTGAATATTTCCATTTATATTTGTTCCTTATCAGCTCACTGGCAATTTCAGCTTCATGGAACACAGAACTAGAAGACGTTTCAGAATTGTTTAAGAGGTTCAACCCCCTCATTTTATAGAATCGAGAGGTAGGTAAAGTGGATTGCTCAGTCACACATCTGCTTACTGCAGGGCTGGAATGAGACCTAAGTCTGATTCTCTTTTCCACTGTTTCACAGCTCCCTTCCAGCAACACATTTTTAACAGGAAGAGCACCAGACCAGATGTCAGGACATGTAACTCTAGGCCAGGCCACTAAGAAGTAAGCTGTCAAGCTGTCTAGTAGCAGTTTCTTCACCTGTAACAGAAAAGAACTGGACTTGGTGACCTCTAGTGTCCTTTCAGATAGTCAGGTTCTGTCATAACAGGTTCTCACCCATCATAGCTCAGTATATAGGTCTACTTTATGCTGATACATTTTCATATTTTGCCTATAATCTTATCATTCTTTGAAACTTCTGGAGGTAGTATAACTATTAAATTATCTCATTTTTATCTAAACTAAACTCAGAATATCAGGTATATCTGAAATTAATCTGAAAACTGCTGTAGAATGTTATCATAGTTCATGCTATTACAAATTGACTCACCCTTTCCCATGTGTTAAAACATCACAAATACACTTTTGCTAAGAAAGATCTTAAGTGTTCTCATCCCATGTGCACAACACATGATAGCTATGAGAGGTGATGGATGAGGGTGCTAATCATTTCACAAGGCATATGTGTATCAACAATTTGTTTGTCAATTATACATTAATAAAGCTAGAAAAACAAAAATTTTAAATAACTCTTTGTGGTACCATCTCCCTATATCCAGGATGACTCTGCCTTTGCCCCTGAGGTCAGTGGCACTGGCCTGATGTCCTCCTCTCCTCCCCAACTCCTGCCATCTTATCGGCACCGTGAATGTGGTTGACGGAACTCCCTCACCTCCCTGACCTTCCTGACGCCAAGCGCCTTTATGGCAGTATGACTCAAGGGACCCACTGCCATGGCCACACGTGGCTCTTTACATATACTTGGAAATGCCAGTCCTTGGCCATGTAAAACCACAAAAGTACATTTCTCACTCCTGCCATATTCCACCCATCTTATTTCTCCCTCATTCTGTCAGTCCTGCCGCTGCATTGCAACCTCTGGTTTACAGAGCCGCTATTTCCCCACCCACAGAAACACAGGGGCCCCGTGACCAGCGGGGCATCAGCTCTCTTCATTTGCTCCTTAACTGAACCCATGCTGCCCATCTCTCCCCCTGCATGACGACTGCCTTCTCCTCCCTGCTGTCAGGCCACTCAGCTCAGTCACGGGGGAAACGGTATTCAACCTCGGGCTGGATTTTCAATCTCTTCCTTAATGTCTTTTCACAGATTTACTGTCCCCTCAGCAACGTAACAAGGCACCAGTACTTACCTATTTCTACGTGCGTTGAAATGCCACAGGATGAACCTCTACGGCAGAGAGAACCCAGCACGATCAGCAGGCCCGGCCACAACCTGAAAGCAGACATGCTCTCCTTCCCCACAGGCTCTCTGGTGACGTGGGAATGCTCAGAGCTGCGGCAGCACCGTGACTCCGAAATCCAGGCGCAGACCCGCTGCTTCTCTCTAAGCAGGTCACTGACCCAAGAAACCAAGTCTCATTTCAAAATCCTATCATTTTCCAATGAAGTCAACTGTTCAACTACTGTTTAACTTCACCAGAACAGCAAACAAACTGTACTCCTGGGGGTGGGGGGAGGAAGATCAACTCAAATCTAAAAAGCCTTAGGCCAGAAGCACTGCATATTCTGACAGAGGTTTTTTTTCTGAATTTCATTTTAACATGAAATTTCTGTAGAGACGCAAGTAAAACTGTCTCCAGATGTTTTGCTTTCTATAAAAAGGCTCACCTGTGCATACAGCCAACATACTGGAGCACCTCACCTTACAGGGGTGGATCTCTCATGCATCGTTTCAGGCTGTCCTGCTTCCTCCGCCTCCCAAGCCACAAGTGCTGGGAAAGCTTCTGTGGTGATCAGCTGGAACTGGCATCTCTTTCAGTGTTTGGCAACAGATACTGACACTTGAACGGGATTACACAACAGCAGCCACTCCTGGTCTCTCTACCTCTGGCTATTCTAATAGGCTTATCCAGAGCCCGTGGCAAGGTCAGATTCCTGCAGCGCAAGCAAAGATGCCAATTGCACTTGGGAGGTGGAAGGAAGGGGGCAGATTTAGGGCCAAGAGACAGGGTTTAGAAAATGTGAAGCTCAGGATATATCATGAGGTAGCCAGCTGCACTTAATCCATGGGAAAATTAAGCTCTTCACAGAACTAATGGTAATCTTAAAGCACAAATTATGTATAGTTTACATTAAAAGCAAGAGATGCACTCCTAAAAGAGTAGGAGGAAATGGTATTCACTCTCAGGTTAGCCAAATGAAAGGAAAGAAAATGTGGCACATATACACCATGGAATACTATGCAGCCATAAGAAAGGATGAGTTCATGTCCTTGGCAAGGACATGGATGAAGCTGGAAGCCATCACTCAGCAAACTGACACAAGAACACAAAACCAAACACTGCATGTTCTCACTCATAAGTGGGTGTTGAACAGTGAGAACACAGGGACACAGGGAGGGGGACATCACACACCAGGGTCTGTTGGGGCATGAGGGAGCTAGGGAAGGGATAGCAGGGGGTAGAGATCGGGGAGGGATGGCATTAGGAGAAATACCTCATGTAGATGAAGGGGCGATGGATGCAGCCAACCACCATGGCATGTGTATACCTATGTAACAATCCTGCACGATCTGCACATGTACCCCAGAACTTAATAAAAAAAACAGAATTTTACAATAAAAAAAAAGAAAGGATGAATAGAAAGTGGGATGATTTGGTCAGGTGTGGTGGCTCACACTTATAATCCCAGCACTTTGGGAGGCCAAGGCAGGTGCATCACCTGAGGTCAGGAGTCTGAGGCCAGCATGATCAACATGTTTACACCTCGTCTCTGCTAATACAAAAATTAGTCGCTATGGTGGAACGTGCCTATAGGCCCAGCTACTGGGGAGGCAGAGGTGGGAGGATCTCTCAAACCTGGGAGGTGAAGACTGCAGTGAGCCAAGATTTAATCACTATACTCTAGCCTGGGTGACAGAGCAAGATGAAAGAAAGAAAGAAAGAAAGAAAAAGAGAGGGGGGGGGGAGAGAGAGAGGAAAAAAAGTGGAATGATTTGAGACGCTTAGTTGTGTGCGCAACAGTTTCCTCTGTAAGCTTAACACAACCACCTGTACAGCCCCAAGGAAAGGAATGCCCCAGCTCTGCCAAACCTGAGGGCAGTAGGCTCAGAGCTGGGCTAAAGTTAAACTTGATGTAAGTTTACAAAACATCTTGTTAGCCAAGCAAAACACGCAGCCATACGGCCTCTGGACTCTTCATTAGCCTAGAGGCCTATGGCTACATGTTTTGTTTGGCTAAAATGTTTTGTAAACTTACATCAAGTTTACAAACTTGTTTTAACGTTTATACACTTTTTAAATAAGAAAATTCATGTAGAAATCTAGATTTCTGGCTCTCCTAAAAATCAAAGAACTGGCATCACGAACTGAGACTCCTATGTAACATGACAACCAGCTGCAGCAGAAGAGCCAGCTGCCCCGACGGTGCATGTCCCGTGCCTCCAGTGCCCACCGTCCGTGCGGTGTCTACACGTTTCCACACCCCTTCTGGCCACCAGAGGCCTTTGAGCGTGCCTCCCTCTCACTCTGGGCCTTCCACAGCCTGTGGGTGAGGTAGTGGCAAGGATTAACTGCGACTTTGGATATTCTCTCTCAGAACATCCAAGAGCAGTCAGTCAATGACTGCAGTGGGGGGATTGCAAAGGGTCACCAGGAAAAAAGTGACACTGCCTGAAAACTGTATCTAAGCAGACATGATACAACACACCCATCCAAAAAGCAGCAAAGAGACAGGTTCAGCCAGGCATGATGGCTCATGCCTATAATCCCAGCACTTTGGGAGGCCAAGGCAAGCAGATGGCTAGAGACCAGGAGTTCACAACTAGCCTGTGCAACACGGCAAAATCCTTCTACCAAGAAAAAAAAAATTAGCGGGCATGGTGGCTTGCACCTGTGGTCCCAGCTACTCAGGAAGCTGAGGCGGGAAGATTGCTTGTACCTGGGAAGCGGAGGTTGCAGTAAGCTGAGATCAGACCACAGGCCGGGTAAGACCCCCATCTCAAAAAAAAAAAAAAAAAAGAAAAAAAGAAATGGGCTCAGTTACCAAACAATACTAATCACAAATGTCTCAATTTCTATTGTTTTTGTATTTGAGGTACAGAATATGAATTTATGAATGTAATAAAATAAGAGGAAATTATTTGCTTAGGAACTGTGATAGTTATGAATATGGTCTTTATGTGACAACAGTGCTTGCCATTTTATAAACTTTGTATTATTTTTGTAACAATAAAAACATCGAAGATTTGACTTTAAAGAAAGTTAAAAGGTAGCTCACAATATTAAGAAAACTATCTGACAAATAATAAGCATATGGAAATATTTTTCTTTCTGCCCCACAACCCCCCTTTCCTAATGTGGGTGGCTTTGTTATGAACAAGACAGCATGATTCTACTATTTAGAACTCTTCGGGAAATGCAGACTGAAGGTGCAAAGTAAACATACGGCTACATTAAGGACTAGGGAGAACACAGGCTTGAAAGCCACAGGGTCTCAAGCTTTATGTGGGCCACTCTAGAAAATGGGGGAGAGGAGGCTGGGAGCAGTGGCTCACGCCTGAAATCCCAGCACTTTGAGGGGCCGAGGTGAGTGGATTGCCTAAGGTCAGGAGTTCAAGACCAACCTGGACAACATGGTGAAACCCCATCTGTACTAAACATACACAAATGAGCCGGGCATGGTGGCACACACCTGCACTCCCAGCTACTCGGGAAGCTGAGGCAGGAGAATGATTTGAACCCAGGAGGTGGACGATGCAGTGAGCGGAGATCGAACCACTGCACTCCAGCCTGGGTGACAGTAAGATCTTGTTTCAAAAAAAGAAAGAAAATAGGGGGGATAAGGGTGGAAACGGGGGATTCGAGGTTCTCGGGACAAAGGCAGGCAAAGGAGAAAGGAGGGAAGAGATCCCTCTCACCTGGTGGTCTCCTCCCTGTAGGCCCTGGTGAGGACACCCAGCCAGGCGCAGCGGCATCAGGACAGGCTGGAAGTAAGACAGGAGCCCAGAGGGAATTGTTTACTCTTGGGATGGGGGCTTGCAGAGGGCCACAAAACTGGAGAGACAGGGGAGGGGCACATTGTGAACTCTAAGCTCCAGGCACTTTTGCCTTTGTGAAGTACTTCCTGTTATACAAATGATAAATAGAAAGCACATTTTACATCTGCATTGCTATATGATTAACATATTAATATGCCACATCCAAGCTTTTTTCTTTGGATTTTAGAAGAAATTTAACATTTTTGAGTGCTCCTAAAAGATTTATGGGCCCTCAGCATCATACCTACTGTGCCTAATGGATAAGTCATCTGGGAAAGGAAGTGGGCACCGTTTGAAATAGAACCTTAAGAAGGTAAGTGGACTTTTTTTTTTTTTTTGACCGGGAGTTTGGCTCTTGTTGCATAGGCTGCAGAGCAATGGCACGGTCTCAGCTCACTGCAACCTTCACCTCCTGGGTGCAAGCAATTCTCCTGCCTCAGCCTCCAGAGTAGCTGGGATTACAGGTGTCTGGCACTACGTCTGGCTATTTTTTTATTTTTAGTAGAGATGGGGGTTTCACCATGTTGGCCAGGCTGGTCTCGAACTTTTGACCTCAGGTGATCCGCCCGCCTCGGCCTCCCAAAGTGCTGGAATTACAGGTGTGAGCCACCGCGCTGACCCTAGAGTAATTTTTGAACAAGAGAGGCAGCCACAATTAACTTGACTTTTCTGGGCCTCAGTTGACTGAAGCCTCAATTAAATGATTTCCCCAGGCCAGTAGAAATGGGCTATCCTGGCCAGGTGTGGTGGCTCACGCTTGTAATCCCAGCACTTTGGGAGGCTGAGGCAGGCAGATCACGATATCAAGAGATGGAGACCATCCTGGCCAACATGGTGAAACCCCATCTCTACTAAAAATACAAAAATTAGCTGGGCATGGTGGCAGGCACCTGTATTCCCAGCTACTCAGGAGGCTGAGGCAGGAGAATCACTTGAACCTGGGAGGTGGAGGTTGCAGTGAGCCAAGATGGTGCCACGGGGACGGGGACGGGGACGGGGACGGGGACGGGGGGAGAAAGAAATGGGCTATCCTGTCATCCCAGCATTTTGGGAGGCCAAGGACAGCAGATGACTTGAGGTCAGGCTTTCGAGACCAGTCTGCCCAACGTGGTGAAACCCGGTCTCCACTAAAAATACAAAACTTAGCTGGGTGTAGTGGTGCACACCTGTGGTCCCAGCTACTGCGTAGGTTCAGGTAGGAGAATCGCTTGAACCCAAGAGGCGGAGGCTGCAGGGAACCGAGGTCACACCACTGCACTCCAGCCTGGGTCTCGGACACTCGGACACACACCCAGACACCCACACACCCACCACACCGTCCCTCCCTCTGCAGATAGGAGATGTAAACACACCAGCTCCCCAGCCCCAACTGCGAGCAGCTGGGACTACAGGTACCCACTGGCCGACATCCCTGTTAGTACTGCCTGGTTCTCCCCAGTTCCTGCAATCAAATAAAGAACAAAGTAGTGTGAAAATCACGAAACTCATTACAGCAGAGTGATCACTTCTGCCAGACTGGCTTAAAATGGGCCCGACTCAGCAAAAGACAAAGTCGAAATTTAAAGTTACTGCCTCAGCATTTTGCCAATGTCCTAGAAAAAAATTCAACGTCCTAGAAAAAGGTGAAACTCTGTAGGAGTTGAGCAAGGGAGCTATGCTGAGACTAGTAACCTAAAATCGATGCGTAGGGTTGAGCTTCATTTGTACCCACCAATTCCCAGCAAAGACCTGCTATTTTTATTTTTATGTTTCCCTGATGCTTTCAGAGTTTTAGGCCCAAGTCTAATTTTCGAACGGATGAAGAATGCTGCTCAATCCTTATACCTTGGCTAATTTTGACAAATGCTTCCTTTTGCTAGTTGGTGGTCCAACTTTAATCTTCCTAGCGGCTTGACCTAGGGGAGCTAGTATGACTTGGAGCACTATACTGAATTTAAAGTAGCAACTGTCATAAGCATTTTACGTTATCTCACCACAAACTCATGGGGTAGATTTGGTTCTATTTGAGAAGTGACTGGACTAAGGTTAACCTGTCGAAGGTCACACAGCCTGTCGGCAACAGACTGAGTTTGGATTCTAGTGTGTTTCTTCCCAAGGCGCTGTTATTTATCGGGAGTGCCCTAAGATAATGCCTAGACACACAGCCAGAAAAGCAGACAAGCGGCAGAACGCGGGGTCACGCTTCGCGCCCTCACGGAACCATGGCTTCCAGTCCACCCTACGTGCTGCGGGGCTCGGCGATGAAGACGCGTGACCATGGCCTTGGCATCCAGCGCAGGCACCGGCCCCATCTATGGGCCGCGCACACATTCTGGGGATGCAGAATTTGGGGAGATGCTGAGAGCGGGTCTCTAGCAGCGGCTGGGGGGCTCGGAAGCAGTTAGTGACAAATGAGCACCCGAAAAGAGGAAAAGTGACAGCAGTCCGCAGGCGCATCTGCCCGCGAGCCTCCTCCATCCCCGACCCCAACCCTCCCCCGGGAGAAGGTTCCGCCGGGAGCGAAGCCGCGCGGCGCTCAGGGCAAGATCCAGAGGGCGGCACGGCGGTGCGGCGCGAAGGGCGCGGAGAGAGGGCGCTGCTCCGCGGCTCGGCCACCTCCCGCCGGCTCCTGCGCCTCCCCCGCGCGCCCCCGGCGCCGCCTCGCTCCTCCCGCTTCCCCTTGACCCCCGCGCTCCCGTGCGCGCGCGCCCGCTTGCCTGTTTCCCGTCGCCGTCGCTACCCGGGTCATGGCGACCTGCTTCTGGCTGCGGAGCTCCGGGCCCCGGCGCCTCGCGTGGACGTTCCCCGGCTGCCGCCTGCGCCCCCACGCCGGCGGCCCGGTGGCTGCCTGGGGTCCCGCGCCCGGCCCGGCCCCGCTCCGCGGCTACGCTGGGGGCCTGGCGAGCCTCTCCGCCGCGCTGCTGCGCACCGACAGCTTCGTGGGCGGCCGCTGGCTCCCGGCCGCCGCCACCTTCCCCGTGCAGGACCCGGCCAGCGGCGCCGCCCTGGGCATGGTGGCCGACTGCGGGGTGCCCGAGGCCCGCGCCGCGGTGCGCGCCGCCTACGAGGCTTTCTGCAGCTGGAGGGGGGTCTCGGCCAAGGTGAGAGCGCCCGGGTGCAGGGGCAGAGCTGGCCGGAGGCCCGGCAGGGAGAGAGGGGCTTGGCCCCAACGAGAAACCAGCCGCGTCGCCTCCCTCCGGTGCGCGGTTCCCGGGATACACAATGCGGAGAGTCAGAGCAACAAGAAGGGAGACGACCAACACTAAGTTTGCAGCTTCCACTTTGTGCCGGTCGCCGGGGACGCGGCCCCTGCCTCCAGCCTCGTGAAGCGTGTGCACGGCCCAGGAGGGGAGGCAGAACGCGAGCGCTTAATACCACCGGCTGAGTGTTACGGTCAACAAGCCTAACCGTGGAGGGGCGGGGAGAAGGGGGAGGGGTGCCGGGGACGTGAGAGCACCTGTGGTCCATCAGAGTATCTGAAATCACCTCCCCAGCTGCGGGAAGGCCCTGGGCCAGAGGCTCGGAATCGGCAACGAGAGAATTGTAGAAAGATTTGGGCCTTGTGCAGGGGAAGGGAGGAGTCCAGGACCATTCTCCAGATTTTCAGCCTAAATATGTAAATGCCGCTATTGGCCATTGCGTAGAGAACACAGGAGAATTGGGAGCAAGGGGTAAAGGGCCATTAAATGGGAGAACAGAGTAAGAGGAAAACTAGGAAAGTTTCTTCTTCCTTCAGGTGTTATATTATGCCTCGGGTCAACGCAGTGAAATTTTTACTCCGTCCTTCGAAGCTCTCCCTCTGAAGGACTGCATCCAATGATCCCTACTAGTACAAGAGACTTAGCACTCACTCATCCATCCGCTGTTTACTGAGCACCTGCCGTTTGCCCTGCACTGCTGGAGGTGTTTGGGATCCATCAGTAAAAGAAAGAAAGATTCGGCCGGGCGCGGTGGCTCAAGCCTGTAATCCCAGCACTTTGGGAGGCCGAGGCGGGTGGATCACGAGGTCAAGCGATCGAGACCATCCTGGTCAACACAGTGCAAACCCCGTCTCTACTAAAAATACAAAAAATTGGCTGGGCACGGTGGCTCATGCTTGTAATCCCAGCACTTTGGGAAGCCAAGGCAGGCAGATCACCTGAGGTCAGGAGTTCAAGACCAGCCTGGCCAACATGGTGAAACACTGTTCCTACTAAAAATTGGCTGGGCACAGTGGCTCATGCCTGTAATTCCAGGACTTTGGGAAGCCAAGGCAGGCAGATCACCTGAGGTGAGGAGTTCAAGACCAGCCTGGCCAAAATGGCAAAACCCTGTCTCTACTAAAAAATATAAAAATTAGCTGGGTATGGTGGCAGGCGCCTGTAATCCCAGCCAGTCAGGAGGCTGAGGCACGGAGAATTGCTTGAACCCCAGAGGCGAGGTTGCAGTGAGCCAAGATTATGCCAACCGTACTCTAGTCTGGGTGACAGAGCAAGACTGTCTCAAAAATCAGTCAATCAGCTAGGCATGGTGGTGTGTACCTGTAATCCCAGCCATTCAGGAGGCTGAGGCATGAGAATTGCTTCATCTCAGGAGGCAGAGGTTGGCTGCAGTGTGCCAAGGTTGCGCAGCTGCACTCCAGCCTGTGTGACAGAGTGAGACTGTCTCAAAAAATCACGGTTCTTCTTGGCTTCGGATACACCTGTGCAGATGCGGGAAGCTAGCGCCCGGGGCAGCTCTCTCTTTAGAGTGCCTTGTTAGCAGCCCAGGGCCTAGATTCTCTAGGCCTTCCTCTTTTTCTATTTTTAAGTGGTTTTATGTGAATGCGTTTTTAAAAACTTTTTTATAAACCATTTCTTCCTTTTTTTTTTTCTTTTTGAGACTGGGTCTTGCTGAGTTGCCCAGGCTGGAATACAGTGGGGCTGTCGTGGCTCACTGCGTCACTACAGCCTCAAACACATCGGCCCAAGCGATTCTCCCACCTCAGTCTCCTGAGTAGCTGGGACCACAGGCATGCGCCACCACACCCAGCTAATGTGTGTGTGTGTGTGTGTGTGTGTGTGTGTGTGTGTGTGTGTGTGTAGAGAAGGGGTGTCACTGCATTGCCCAAGCTGGTGTCAAACTCCTGGCCACAAGCGACCCTCCCTCCTTGGCCTTCCCAAGTGTTGGGATTATGGGAATGAGCCGCCACACCTGGTCCTATAACATTGTTAACAATCCAATGTATCCCTTCATCTGTTTTTTTGTTCATTGGAATTTTTTAAATTATGGTAAAATATGCCTAACATTTACCATTTCAGCCGTTTTTAAGTGTGCATTTCAGTGGTATTCGGCGCATTCATGTTGTTGAGCCTGGGCCCTCTTCTTAGGTACGTAAAGCCCTTTTTTATGCCTCACGCATGCCCCAGTCCTCATGTCAGTCTAGGACAAATCCAGCTTACCAGTGAGCCACGATAATAGGGAACAATACTTGAAGACAGTATGCTGAGTGAAATAAACCAGTCGCAAAAAGGCAAATGCTGTATGATTGTACTGATATGAGGTACCTAGAGTTGAAAGTAGAATGGGCCAGGCCTGGTGGCTCACAATTGTCATCTTAGCCCTTCGGGAGGCCGAGGCATGAGCATTGCTGAGAGCCCGCAGTCTGAGGTCGCGATGAGCTATGCTTGTGCCACTACCCCCCTGCCTGGGCATCAGATCAACACCCTGTGTAAAATAATAAAGTAGGGAACTATGCATTTGTATGGTAAAATGAAAGTCGTTTTTATTTATCATAAGCAATACTAGGTGTTTCCACGAAACTTTTCTCTTTTTTTAATTTGTGACTCACTGTACCTCTTTAGATGTAACTTGAAATTGGATCTGTACTACGTATCAGAGAAGGGTCAGTTAGCATGAGCAATATAGTGGGACCTGGTCTATACAAAAAAATTTTAATTAGCTGAGCTTGATCATCCTGTAGATCCTGTTAGCATGAATAGTCTGTATGGCATGACAACAGCTGCTTTAAGGGGAAGATGAGATTTCTTTCTGCTTCTAAGTGATGCTGTGATACCTGAGGCACTAAAGCAGGGCTAGTAATGCTTTTATAGTTTCACACTGGCTTATTTTAACAGATAGAGGTGATCGTTGTAAGACGTATGTAGCATGATGTTAACTTTGTGATCTAAAGTGTTTAGCTCTCACGCCAGATTCCTTAGTAGACCAAATCTTGTTCTCAAAGCGTTCCCCAGTTATACCTTGTTGTTTAGAAGAAAAGTATTTGTTACGTCTCGTCGGATCTACTTTTTGAACTTTTCATTCCCTGTAGTTGCCAGTTCGGCATGTACTAGTCACCTAGAAACAGGTTAAACTGAAGCAACTTGATGGAAGGAACTCTCCACAGGGCTTGTTTTCCAAAGAAAAGTGTTGTTTGGAGGAGCAAAGTTACAAGCCTACATAAGCATATCATAAAGCTGTTCACAAATAACTCAGAGCCAGTCTTGTGGGGGTAAAGGTAGTGTCCAGGTCACATTCTGCTTAAAGTTGTAACACATGCAAATGAGTTGAAAGAAAACAATTTGAGCATGGTGGTGTGTGCCTGTAGTCCCAGCTACTCAGTCGGCGGAGCTGGGGATCACTTGAGCCAAGGGAGCAGAAGTTGCAGTGGGCTGTGGTCACACAGCTACACTCCAGCCTGGGTGACAGAGCAAAACCCTGTCTCTCTTTAAAAATGTTTTTAATTTTTTAAATTTGTGTGCTTCCCATTGTCCAAACCCAGACCTGTCTGAAAGAAAAAACCAGGTCAGTGTATGTTTCCTTCGGCGTCTTACCCAGGGTTGTTCAGAAAAATAGAAGCAACGCGCTATGAGAACCAGTGTTATGTATATACAAGTGGAATCACAGATGTATAGGAATACAGGAAGAGACTTCTTGTAAAGGACTGGCTTATTTGACTGTGGATGCTAAGATGTCCCACCCTCTGCTGTCTGCAAACTGGAGACCTAAGAAAGCTGATAGGTCCAGTCTGAGTTCCAACTGGGTCCAAAGGCCTGAGTACCGGTAATGCCAGTGTCTGGTGTCTGATAGCAGGAAATGGATGTCCTAGCTCATGCAGGGGAGTGACTTTGCCCGTCCTCTGCCGCTTTGTCCTTTTCAGGTCCTCAGCAGATTGGATGGTGCCCCGCTGAATTTGTGAAGGCAAATCTTTATTCAGTCTACTGATTCAAATGCTAATTTCTTCTGAAAACTCTCACACACACCCAGAAATAATGTTTTACCAGCTATCTGGGCCTCCTTGAGCCCAGTCAAATTTATACATCAAATTAACCCTCACAGCCAAGGAGAATGAGACCATACAGCTAATATGTTAGGATATTGAATTTTAATTGCCATTCTGTCTTATACTTGGCATGTTATTTGTTTTCTGCCTTATTTCTTTTGCAGGAGAGGAGTTCATTACTTCGGAAGTGGTACGATTTAATGATAAAAAATAAGGATGACCTTGCCAGAATAATCACAGCGGAAAGTGTAAGTCCGGGGTCCTGGCTTGGTGCGCTGAGAAATTGTCCAGGGATTCTGAGACTCAACTTGGAAAAGGCCCTGACTTCCCATCACTGCTGGCTAAAAAATATGTGATTCCTTTGCTACTAATCAAATACCAAGTCATTATTGTGCCAGGGTACATAGATTTGCTAAAATAAAATTTGTACGTTCTCATTTATTCTTTAATAGTATCCAAAAATAGATTTTGTTTGGAACTATATGAATAAGTGCTGTTTCACCATTCTGATTTTTTCCTGTTACCATTTTTTTAATATTGTTTTTGTATATTTTTAATGTACCAATATTTCTTCCATAGATATAATAAATTATTTCATATCATGGTTACAATACTTAGGAGATATTGAAAGGAAGAAAAAATTACATGTTTCCTAATTCGTAAACAATTAGGAATGCAGATCACTCTGGTGGTTTAGGGTGATACAACCATGCATATATTCGGCATTGTAATTCTACTTTCTAAAACTCACACCAGAGTCAGAAATGCCCCCATTGTGTGGGTGTCATTATAGGAGACTTTTCTAGTCTTCTTGCACCTTGAAGAAATTAGGAGCACAGAGCCATGCTTTTAATATTAGAAGGTGATATGTGGGTTCTTCTCTGATTTGATTTAGGGAAAGCCACTGAAGGAGGCACAGGGGGAAATTCTCTATTCCGCCCTTTTCCTAGAGTGGTTCTCAGAGGAAGCACGCCGTGTTTATGGAGACATTATCTACACCTCGGCAAGGGACAAGCGGGCCCTGGTCCTCAAGCAGCCCGTAGGTGTGGCCGCAGTCATCACCCCGGTAGGTGACGGGATCAGCAAGATCCTAGTGTGGGAGATGGGATAGGAAGTTGGGAAACAATTCATGCTTCCTCTTGAGCAGGTGTCCTCACCCTGTTAGCTTTGTCACCTGTTCCTGGTTTCCTGATGCTTTTGCTGGATGTGGAAGTGTGTTTCCTGGCCCTCTGTGATAACGTTAGGTGTGGTGGCGCTGAGCGGAAGGAGGCATTTCTAATGCTGCAGAAGTGAGAAGAGCCACAGGAGGACCCGGGGCTCTTCCGACTTGGCATGGAGGCGGCTTCCTGGCATTGCCAAGCACCTCTGAAAAGATCTTCTGGTATTTGTCATTTTTAAAAAGACTTATGATATGATACATTTTAAAAGTTTGGGAAAAAGTTTTTTTGCTTAATTGGTGGTTATCATCAACAGCAAAGCATTTGTGGACCCACCAGCAGGCAGTGGGCCAGGTTCTACAGGTAAAAAGGCTAAGAAGTGAAGTATCGCCTCTGCCAGGTGGGGCTGCAGTATATTTGTGGCACGCCTACTTTCCCTCTCGGTCCTGCCTTCTGCTAGGTCCTATTAACTTCTCTCCTGTATCTATCAGCTGGTCTCAAGATGCCTGTGTGTTTCCTGCTCAGCATAGTTACAGATAGAATCTCCCTGATGCCTAGACTGACTCGGTTTGACTCAAAGGTCACTATTTACCAGCTATGAGACCTTGTTCAAATTATTTAACTGCACTGTCTCAGTTTTCCTGAACTTGCAAATGAGGTTAATATCAACTTCATTGGGTTGTGATAAGGATTTAATTAATTTTAATTTTTTAAGTACATAGAAAAATAACCTGCTACACAGTAAGCACTATGTAAGAGTTTTTCAAAATAAAATAAAATATTGTTGTTACAGGTAAGTCTGTAGGCATCTATAAATATGTATGTGGAAGGAAGTGATCATCTGCCCTTTTCAAAACCATTGCTAATATTTTCTCCCATGGGCCTCAGGCCAAATCCAGCCCACTGCCTATGTTTGTAAATAAAGTTTTATTGGGACAGAGCCACACCCATTTATATACCTACTGTCTGTGGCTGTTTTCACAATGCAGCTACAGAGTTGAGTACTTGCCATAGAAACCATACATTCTACAAGGCCTAAAAAATTTATGATCTGGCCAGTCACAGAAAAAGTTGGCTGACACCTGGTCTAACTCATTTTTTACTGTGTTAAATTCTAAAAATATTTTCTGTCTTCATGATACTTTATCTCAGAGTCCCTCAAGTTGGCAGGGGCCAGGTGTTCTGAGAGCTCGCCTGTGCAGCCAAACAGGTGTGTCAGTCAGTCGTGCAATGGAATTTATTCACTGACTTCCTAACCTGCCTTCCTTTGCACTAACGAGGCAGTCCTTCCTCTCATATACTTCCTCTGCTCTTCTAACCCCAGTGGAATTTCCCCAGTGCCATGATCACCCGGAAGGTGGGGGCTGCCCTGGCAGCTGGCTGCACAGTGGTGGTGAAGCCCGCCGAAGACACGCCCTTCTCCGCGCTGGCCCTGGCTGAGGTGAGCTGCTCCCCGTGTTTGCACAAAGCAGACAAAGCCCAAAACTTGATGTTTATCTGGGACGGAAGGAAGCAGTTTTGGAGCCTACTTCTTTCCTTTGTCTCCTGATACACGATGTTGTGTTTTCATCTACTGGCAATTATTTTAAGTCAGCTGTAGCTCTTTTGGAGGAATAAATGGATGGGGGATTTTCTGGCATCTGCAGGACATGTATTTTCTGCCTACTGTAGAAATGGTATCCATCATCTTCATTAAATAGGCACTTAAATGTGGATGTTTCTCACATTTAAGGAACTTATTTATCATTCCCATTCCCGGGTCAATCTGTATGCCATGAGATCTTACTCTCTTGTTTGAAAACCTCAAGTGGCTTCTTGTGTCACTCAGAGTAAAGTTCAGATTCCCTAGTGGCTTTCAAGGTCCTATAAGATGTCTCTTCCCAACCCCCAGTATGCCTCTGACCTCGTCCATCACTCTGGAGCCCCTCACTCTTCATTCATCTGCTTGGAACACTCTGGCCCCTGTCACTCCCCAGACCCCGCCAGACTTGCCCTGCACTCAGACTGTATACGTTCCCTGTCCGAAGCGCTCTTCCCCAGATACCCACATGACTTTCTTCTTCACGTCTTTATTCAAATGCCACCCTCCCAGGGAGGCCTTCCATGGCCGCTCTGTCTAAAAATCACAACTTGGCTGGGCGTGGTGGCTTACTCGTGTAATCCCAGAACCTTGGGAGGCCAAGGCGGGCAGAGCACTTGAGGTCAGGAGTCCGAGACCAGCCTGGCCAGCATGGTGAAACCCTGTCCCTACTAAAAATACAAAAATTAGCCGAGCGTAGTGGCACATGCCTGTAATTCCAGCTACTCAGGAGGCTGAGGCAGGAGAATCACTTGAAGCTGGGAGGCAGAGGTTGTAGTGAGCTGAGATTGTGTCACTGCACTCCAGCCCGGGTGACAGAGAGAGGCTCTGTCGCAAAAAAAAAATCACAACCTCACACTCTGATGCTCCTGATCCCCTTCTCTGCTTTGCTTTTTTCCCCTTAACACCTAAAACCACCTACTCTGTCACTATTTATAGGTCTTTTCAATGCGCAGGGCTAGGAGATACACATTTTTACGTACACACAGGCACACACACAATACAATGCTGCAGAAATTTCTACAGAAACTTCCAATTCAAATTCAGTTCTATAGAGTTTTTACTTAACTTCTTTTATATCTGCGTCTCCTTCTTTCCTGGTTTCTAAGAACTCAGGGAATGACTGAATTAATATTCCATATATACTAATTAGATAGAACAACAGCTTTTGAGTATTAATTTTATTTGGGGTTTTACAAAATATTAATTTTAACATCATCACCAATGTGCCTATTGAAAATGGTTTACTTTTTGGTATTTTCTCTTTTTTTTTTTTTTTTTTTTGGTACGGAGTTTCGCTCTTGTTACCCAGGCTGGAGTGCAATGGCGCGATCTCGGCTCACCGCAACATCTGCCTCCTGGGTTCAGGCAATTCTCCTGCCTCAGCCTCCTGAGTAGCTGGGATTACAGGCACGCGCCACCATACCCAGATGATTTTTTGTATTTTTTTTTTTTTTTTTAGCAGAGACGGGGTTTCACCGTGTTGACCAGGATGGTCTTGATCTCTTGACCTCATAATCCACCCGCCTCGGCCTCCCAAAGTGCTGGGATTACAGGCTTGAGCCACCGTGCCCGGCTCTCTTTCCATTCTCATTATTAGTAATAAACTCTTATTTTAGAATGTTTTACATTTACAGAAAAATTGCAGACGGGTATTTCCCACATACCCCACACCAGTTTCTCCTATTAGGTACATTAGGATGGTATATTTGTTGCAATTAATCAACCAATAGTGATACACTGTTATTAACTAAAGTCCATACTTTAAAATCCATTCTCAGATTTTATTAGTCTGTACCTAGTCTCCTTTTTCTGTTTCAGGATCTGGTCCAGGATATCACATTACATTTAGTTGTCTTATCTCCTTAACCCCTCTTGGCTATGAGCATTTCTCTGTATTTTAAAATAGTTACACCTTATCTGCACTGCCAAGACTACAACCATGACATGCTCTATTCTCTCCAGTTTAACACTCCTTTAGACTTAGTCCAATAAGCAGCTGTATGTTTGTGCTCACCACCAGTGCTTATGTCCGTGTCTCTCTGAACCCCATTCTGTAGTAGATTCCTCAGGAAGTGCTCATGGGAGTGATAGTTCCCCTGCTTAAATGTTCACAGGAGTCTGTGCCCAATGTGCTTATAAAGCAGTTTTGCTGGGTATACAATTTTTGGCTTACATTTTTTTTTACTTGATTATCTTAAATATATTCTCTATTTTCTTCTGATACAAAGTGTTGCTCTTGAAAATTCAAATGGTAATCTAAGTTTCTTACATTTGTGAGTCAACTTGTTTCATTTTTGCCTAGATACACAAAAGTGTTTGGTTGGATTTTTTTCCCCTTTGTCTTTAAAGACCAGTAATGTCACTAGAATATGTCTTTCTGATGACTGCTTTGAGTCCATACTGCAGGTATGCAGTGTGCTCTTTGAGTATGGAGTTTCCAGCCTTTTTGTTTTATATCTCTATAAAGTTTTTGGGACTTGTTCTTCATTGGTTTGGTTTTATCCTTTAGGAACTCGTATTATCCATGAGTTGAATCTTTTTTGTCACTTTCTCTTGTATCTTTTTCATTTTTCCCTAATTTTAAAAATTATCTTTTTTTTCCCCTGGGTACAAAATATGTGATTTTATTTTTTAATTTTTGTTTCATAGGTTATTGGGGAACAGGTATTTGGTTACATGATTAAGTTCTTTAGTGGTAATTTGTGAGCTTTTGCTACACCCATCACCTGAGCAGTAGACACTGCACACAATTTATAGTCTTTTATCCCTCACTCCCATCCCACCCTTGCCCCCTGAGTCCCCAAAGTCCATTGTGTCATTCTTATGCCTTTGCTTCCTCACAGCTTAGCTCCCACTTATGAGTGAGAACATACGACATTTAGTTTTGCATTTGAGTTACTTCACTTAGAATAATAGTCTCCAGTCTCATCCAGGTCACTGCAGATACCATTACCTCATTCCTTCTTATGGCTGAGTAGTTTTACATCCTATGTATAAACCGCATAGGATGCGCTTTATCCACTTGTTGATTGATGGGCATTTGGGTTGGTTCCATGGTTTTGCAATTGTGAATTGTGCTGCTATAAACATGAGTGTACAAGTATCTTTATCGTATAACGATTTCTTTTCCTCTGGGTAGATACCCAGTAGTTGGATTGCTCGATCAAATGTTAGTTCTACTTTTAGTTCTTTAAGGAATCTCCACAATATTTTCTGTAGTGTTTGTACTAGTTTATATTCCCACCAGCAATGTAGAAATGTTCCCTGTTCACCACATCCATGCCAACATCTATAATTTTTTGATTTTTTGACTATGACCAACCTTGTAGGAGTAACGTAGTATTACATTGTGGTTTTTATTTGCATTTCCTTCATCATTACTGATGTTGAGCTATTTTTCATGTATTTGTTGGCCATTTGTATATCTTCTTTTGAGAATTGTCTATTCATGTCCTTAGCCCACTTTTTTACGGTATTGTTGGGTTTTTTTTCTTGCTAATTTGTTTGAGTTCATTGCAGATTCTGGATATTAGTCCTTTGTCAGATACATAGATTGTGAAGACTTTCTCCTGCTCTGTGGGTTGTCTGTTTATTCTGTTGACTACTCCATTTGCCATGCAAAAGCTCTTTAGTTTAATTAAGTCCCAGCTATTTGTCTTTGTTTTGGTTTTATTTGCTTTTGGGCTCTTGGTCATGAAATCCTTGCCAAGGCCCACCATGTCTGGAAGGGTTTTTCCAATGTTATCTTCTAGAATTTTTATAGTTTTAGGTCTTAGATCTAAGTCCTTGATTCATCTTGAGTTTATTTTTGTCTAAGGTGAGAGATGAGGATCCAGTTTTATTCTTCTACATGTGGCTAGCCAATTATCCCAGCACCATTTGTTGAATAGGGTGTCCTTTTCCCGCTTTATGTTTTTGTTTGCTTTGTCAAAGATCAGTTGCCTTTAAGTATTTGGCTTTATTTCTGGTCCTCTATTCTGTTCCATTGGTCTGTCTGTCTATTTTATGCCAATAGCATGCTGTTTTGGTGATTATGGTCTTATAGTATAATTTGAAATCAGGTAATGTAATGCCTTTAGATTTATTCTTTTTGCTTAGTCTCGCTTTGGCTATGCAGGCTCTTTTTTGGTTCCATATAAATTTTAGGATTTTTTTTTTTTTTTTAAGACGGGATTTCACCATGTTGGTCAGGTGGTCTTGAACTCCTGACCTCAGGTGATCTGCCCGCCTTGGCCACCAAACTGCTTGGATTACAGGCGTGAGCCACCACACCCGGCCAGGATTGTTTTTTCTAGTTCTGTGAAGAATGACAGAGGTATTTTGATGGGAATTGCATTGAATTTATAGATTGCTTTTGGCAAATGGTCGTTTTCACAATATTGATTCTACCCATCCACAAGCAGGGGATGTATTTCCATTTGTTTGTGTCACCTATGATTTCTTCCAGCAGTGTTTTGTAGTTTTCCTTGTAGAGGTCTTTCACCTCCTTGGTTAGATATATTCCTAAGTATTTTATACAAATATATTTTTGCAGCTGTTATAAAAGAGGTTGAATTCTTGATTTCTTGGCCTGGTTGCTGTTGGTGTATAGAACAGCTACTGATTTGTGTACCTTAACTTTGTATCTGGAAACTTTACTGAATTCTTTTATCAGTTCTAGGAGCTTCATGGAGAGGTGTTTAGGGTTTTCTAGGTGAACAATCATATTATCAACAAACAATCATATTATCAACAAAAGGGGCAGTTTCACTTTGCTGATTTGGATGCCCTTTCTTTCTTTCTCTTGTCTGATTGCTCTGGCTAGGACTTCCAGTACTATGTTGAGGAGAAGTGGTGGGAGGGGGCATCCTTGTCTTCTTGTTACAGTTCTCAAAGGGAATGCTTTCAACTTCTCCCTATTCAGCATTATGTCGTCTGTAGGTTTATTATAGATGGCTTATATTACATTGAGGTATGTCCCTTGTGTGTCCGTTTTGCTGAGAGTTTTAATCCTAAAGCGATGCTGGATGTTGTTGAATGCTTTTCTGCATCTATTGAGATGATCATATGATTTTTGTTTTCAATTCTGGTTATGTGGTATATCACATTTATTGACTTGCTTATGTTAAACCATCCCTGCATTCTTGGTGTGAAACCCACTTGATCATCTTTTTGATATGTTCTTGGATTTGGTTAGCTAGGATTTTGTTAAGGATTTTTGCATCTGTGTTCATCAGAGAGACGGTCTGTAATTTTTCTTTTGGGTTATGTCCTTTCCTGGTTTTGGTATTAGGGTGATACTGGCTTCATAGAATGATTAAGGGAGGGGTTCCCACTTTCTCTATCTTGTAGAATAGTGTTAATAGGATTGGTATCAATTCTTCTTTAAATGGCTGGTAGAATTCTGCTGTGAATCCATCTGGTCCTGAACTTTTTTTGTTGGTAATTTTTTATTACCATTTCAATCTTCCTACTTCTTATTGGTCTGTTCAGGGTATCTCATTCTTCCTGATTTAACCTAGGAGGGTTGTATGTGTCCTGGAAGTTATCCATCTCCTCTATGTTTTCTAGTTTATGCACGTAACAGTGTTCATAGTAGCCTTGAATGATCTTTTGTACTTCTGTGGTATCAGTTGTAATATCTCCCATTTCATTTCTAGTTGAGCTTATTTGGATTTTCTCTCTTCTCTTCTGGGTTAATCTTGCTAATTAATGTTCTATCAGTTTTATTTGTCTTTTCAAAGAATCAGCTTTTGTTTCATTTATCTTTTGTATTGTTTGTTTCTATTTCATTTAGTTCTGCTCTGATCTTGGTTATTTCCTTTCTTCTTCTGGGTTTGGGTTTGGTTTGTTCTCATTTCTCTAGTTCCTTGAGGTGTGGCCTGTGATTATCTGTTTATGCTCTTTCAGACTTTTTGATTGTCAGCATTTAGGGCTATGAACTTGGCTCTTGGCATCGCCTTTGCTGTATCCCAGAGGTTTTGATAGGTTGTGCCACTGTTCATTCAGTTCAAAGAATTTTTTAATTTCCATCTTGATTTCATTTTTGACCTAATGATCATTCAGAAGCAAGTTATTTAATTTCCATGTATTTGCATGGTTTTGAAGGTTCCTTTTGGAGTTGATTTCCAGCTTTATTCCACTGTGGTCTGAGAGAGCGCTTGATGTAATTTCCATCGTCTTAAATTCTTCAATAAATCTTCTTAAATTTATTGAGGCTTGATATGGTCTATCTTGGGGAAAGTTCCATGCGCTAATAAATAGAATGTATATTCTGCAGTTATTGGGTAAAGTCTTCTATAAATATCTGCCAAGTCCATTTGTTCCAGGGTATAGTTTAAGTCCAGTGTTTCTCTGTTACCTTTCTATTTTGATGACCTGTCTAGTGCTGTCAGTGGAGTATTCAAGTCCCCCATTACTAAATTGATTCTTTCCTGTATTCCTTCACCTCATTTCCAAAGTTTTCTGGCTACAGTTCATGTTGGTTGTTCTTTTGGGTCTTGGTATAATTTTCTTGTCATCTTTTACCTTGTTTTGAAATTGTAAGTTACGGTTTGGGTCTGGGTTTTTTTGTTTGTTCTGTTTTGTTTTTAAGATGGAATTTCACTCTCATTATCCAAGCTGGAGTGCAATGGTGTGATCTCGGCTCACCACAACCTCTGCCTCCCGGGTTCAAGCGATTCTTCTGCCTCAGCCTCCTCAGTAGCTTGGATTACAGGCACCTGCCACCACACCTGGCTAATTTTTTGTATTTTTAGTAGAGAGGAGGTTTCACCAGGTTGGCCAGGCTGGTCTTGAACTCCTGACCTCAAGCAATCCACCCACCTTGGCCTCCCAAAGTGCCGGGATTACAGGCATGAGCCACTATGCCCAGCCCAGTTTGGGTCTGTTTTGTAGGCATGTCTTTCTGATATGCTTTTGTTGTCTATAGGGATATTATTCTACTTCTTCTTCTTCTTATTTTTTTCTTGAGACAGGGTCTCACTCTGTCACCCAGGCCGGAGTGCAGTGGTGTGAACACAGTTCATTGCATCCTCAACCTCGAAAGCTCAAGCAGTTCTCCTGCCTCAGCCTCCCGAGTAGCTGGGATCACAGGTGTTGTTAGAAATAAAGCTGTGTCATAAGAAAAAGTGAGCTCTCAGACAAAACATTTCTCAGCAAAGCAAATTTACTTCTGCAGAAGGGTGCGTCTTGCGTGGAGCAATGGCGAGAGCATACAGAACAAAAGGAAGCAGGGGTTTTCAATTATCTGTAATGTGGCATCCGCTTCTGTGTCTTTCCTCTTTTGTCAAGGGTTGGACCACACAATCTAAACAAGGCCTGGTTGGCTAAACAGTTAAACTTTCTTAGATAAGGTGGACGCATGATGGGAGAGAGGGGAGAGGAGGAAGGGGTCATCTGCAGTGAACTGGAGAGCCAGTCCTTTCTCAAATAAGGAAAGGAATGTGAGCTGGGGCTGTGGGATGGCTGGGCATGTGGTAACATAGAAGAACAGGAGAATAGAAGGTGCGGGGGTGCTTGGATTAAAGAACATAGAGCAGGCTGTTTGAAGAGAACCCTTGCCATATCTCACAGGTGTGCACCACCACACCCAGCTAATGTTTTTTATTTTTTGTAGAGATAGGGTCTCACTATGTTGCCCAGGCTGGTCTAGAACTTCTGGGCTCACGTGATCCTCCTACCTTGGCCTCCCAAAGTGCTGGGGTTTCAAGCATAAGCCACCACACCTAGCTTCTTTTTTCTTTTAACAATTTTGTATGGGATTTGACCTCAATGCTTTCTCAGAATTTTGTTTATTTTTATGTGAAGTTCGTTTTCTTGAACTTCTGGAAGAAGGCCCCGTTAGAAATAGCTTCTTTACCTTCACAGAGTACCTTCTGCTTCCTTGTGTGTCGAGAAGAGATGAGGCAGCTTGCTTCCTGAGCCTCCTTCCCCTGCCTGTATCGGCGCCTCCTCGCCCTTCTTCACATGGTTCCAGGCTGCACTCTCGTGCCCTTCAGTCCTTCCTGCAGCGTCCCACGTATTCACCTGCCATTGATAAGGCAAGACCCGTTCACTTACAGCTGCTGTCCTCAGATGGAACAGCTGTGGACTATTTGGGGTTCTCGGTTATGGGGTACATCACACGGCCTGTTGCTGCCCCCTGCTTCCTCTCACACAGGTGCCAATAGGACACTCAGGTCTTGTCAACGCAGGCGGTGTATTCTCACCCACCTGTAACTTGTGGTTTATTGTGGAGACACCTTGCCATCTCATCTTGCTGTAAATGTCTGTTATAATTGTCTTGTGAATGTCTCTGAGATTTTGGGTTTGCTGTCTAAGTGCTATTTTCATGATGACATTGAGGGCGGTTCACAAACTCTGCCGTTACCACTGTCCTCCCAGAATCTCCAGTCAGATTTACGTAATAAGCTAAGTGTTAATGGAATCTGGAAATTAAAATAATTCAGGATATGCCTTATCCAAAGGGAATCTCTACCAAAAGAGCATGAATGTCCGGCTCAGGCAGCTGTGGGTTTGCACGCGTGTTCTGTTACTTACTAGCATGTGGCATTGGCTGGACTCTTCTCTGCTGTGCCTCCTTTCTTCATCGCTTCCCTGGGAAATCACCTTTGGAAAGGCTTTGCCCTGCTGCCCTGCACCTAGTAGGTGCTCACTGAATGCCCCTTTCCACTTTCCCACCCTTGATTCTACAGGTGATTCAGATAACTTTTTGTTTGGCATCTTTTCTGATTTTTCTCAGGATAGAAATTCAGGGCTTTTTATTTGTTTGTTTGTTTGAACAGAAGACGGCATTGAAATTTATGCTCTGGCCAGGCGCGGTGGCTCACACCTGTAATCCTAGCACTTTGGGAGGCTGAAGTGGGCAGATCACTTGAGGTCAGGAGTTCAAGACAAGCCTGGCCAACATGGTGAAACCCTGTCTCTACTAAAACTACAAAAATTAGCCGGTGCATACCTGTAATCCTAGCTACTGGGAAGACTGAGGCAGGAGAGTCACTTGAATCTGGGAGGCGGAAGTTGCAATGAGTGGAGATTGTGCCAATGCACTCTAGTGTAGGTGACAGAGCAAGACTCCGTCTCCAGAAAAAAAGAAAGAAAGAAACTTATACTCCAGGAATTTTTTTTTTTTGAGACAGGTTCTTGCTCTGTTTCCCAGGCTGGAGTGCAGTGATGTGATCTTAGCTCACTGTAACCTCACCCTCCAGGGTTCAAGTGATCCTCCCACCTCTGCCTCCACAAGTGCTGGGATTACAGGAGTGAGCCATCGAGCCTGGTAGAAATTTTACTGTAATGATGTTTAACAACATATTAATATTAATGTGACTTTAGCACTAATAAGAATCGTATCTACGTTCCAAATATATTCTTACTCTGTCCCCAGTGTCAGCTTAATTTTTTTTCCATTACTTTTTGGATTAAACATCTATTTATTCCTTTTTTATTTTATTTTTTTCAGTTTGATATATTGTTGCCATATGTTTGCTGTTTCTCTTTATAGCTTGCAAGCCAGGCTGGAATTCCTCCGGGAGTCTACAATGTCATTCCCTGCTCTCGAAAGAATGCCGCGGAAGTAGGGGAGGTGATTTGTACGGATCCTCTGGTGTCCAAAATTTCCTTTACTGGTTCAACAACTACAGGAAAGGTATGTGACTCAAGTCTCAAAGAAAACAAATGTCTTTCTAATATTTTATCTTGATAGGTTACAAAAGTACTATTTCATTCTGATCACCAATTTTGGAAAGATTTCCAGCAGAGTATTAAAAGCCCTATTGCAAGCCAGGCATGGTGGCTCACGCCTGTAATTCCAGCACTTTGGGAGGCTGAAGTGGGCAGATCACTAGAGGCCAGGAGTTCAAGACCAGTCTGGCCAACATGGTGAAACCCCGTCTCTACAGAACATACAAAAATTAACCAGGCATGGTGGTGCACACCTGTAATCCCAGGTACTCAGGTGGCTGAGGCATGAGAATCACTTGAACCCAGGAGGCAGAGGTTGCAGTGAGCCGAGTTTGCACCAATGCACTTTAGACTGAGTGACAGAGCAAGACTGTCAAAAAAACAAAAAGGTCTGTTGGTTGAATAAAGCAATATCTGACCATCCTCTGGAGACATTTTTGACAGTTCTTTATGGCATGACATAGGTTCCCGCTTGACGAAAACCAAAGAAACTGGGGCAGTGATGGTCCCATTATGTTTGCATTATTTGTTGTATGTGAAGTGGCTGAAAGTTCTCCACTGTATTTTTTTCAATTCTAGAATGCATGTTTCTTTTAATAATCTAGAATTAGAGATTCTAGAAACACACTATTAATGTTGAAATGGATGTTTCTGAATTGAACAAAAATTGTGTTTAGTCTAAAAGTACTTAGAGAAATGGAAAGGTCTTTTTCTTTGAGGTTTTTTTCCCCTTAAAGTGTTTTGTTTTTTTTTTAATAAAGATGGGGTTTCACCATGATGGCCAGGCTGGTCTTGAACTTCTGACCTCAGGTGATCCATCCACCTCAGCCTCCCACAGTGCTAGGATTACAGGCGTGAGCCACCGCGCCCAGCCATAATAAAATGTTCTTTCCTGAAAACTTAACATGTGTGCCTGTTAAGTAGATATTCATTTATCCTTTTAAATGTCCAAAAGAGAAAAAATCAAAGTAGAACAAAAGTTTTTGTTTATGGTGTTTCTCTTCAGAAGGTGTGCTTTTTTTCTACTGGTTTATATATACACATCCACATATACGTGTCTACTCATACTATTCGGCCAAGGCAAGAGGATCGCTTGAGCCCAAGGAGGTTGAGACCAACCTAGGCAACATGGTGAAGCCTTGTCTCTACAAAACAAAACAAAACAACCAGGCTTGGTGGCACACACCTGCACTCCCAGCTACTTGGGAGGCTGAGGTGAGAGGATCACCTGAGCCTGGGAGGTCAAGGCTGCAGTGAGTCGTGATCTCACCACTGCACTCCAGCCTAGGCAATATGTGTGAGACCCCATGTCAAAAAATAATAAAAATTAAAAAGTCTAATTTCAAAGCTCTTGTGAATCTATGGTCATTTTAGAAACCATGAGAAGCAGGAAGGAATAATGTAAATTTTTTTTTTGGAGACAGTTGGCCTGTCGCCTAGGCTGGAGTACAGTGGTGTGTTCTTGTCTCACTGTAACCTCCGCTTCCTGGGTTCAAATGATTCTTGTGCCTCAGCCTCTTGAATAGCCACGATTACAGACCTGTGCCACTACGCCTGGCTAATTTTTGTATTTTCTGTAGAGATGAGGTTTCGCCATGTTGGCCAGGCTGGTCTGGAACTCCTGGCCTCAAGTGATCCTCCTTCCTCGACCTCCAAAAGTCCTGGGATTACAGGTGTGGGCCAGCATACCTGGCTGGAATAAGGTAATTTTAATGGCTCCCAACCATAATCACTTTTGTTATGCCATAAACTCATACTCAGGGAGAAGTGCTTTGGAATCCTACCATTCATTAATATTAGAAATAGGAATATTTAGCCGGGCGCGGTGGCTCACACCTGTAATCCCAGCACTTTGGGAGGCCAAGGCGGGTGGATCACGAGATCAGAAGATCGAGACCATCCTGGCCAACATGGAGAAACCCTGTCTCTACTAAAAATACAAAAATTAGCTGGGCATGGTGGCGCGTACCTGTAATCCCAGCTATTCGGGAGGCTAAGGCAGGAGAATTGCTTGAGCCAGGGAGTCAGAGGTTGCAGTGAGCCAAGATCACGCCACTGCACTCCAGCCTGACGACAGAGCAAGACTTTGCCTCAAAAAAAAAAAAAAAAAAAAAAAAAAAAAAAAAATATATATATATATATATATATATATATGAGAAAAGAAAGGAATTTTTAGGTCTATAAACTGCTACCCTTGATCAGTGGTTCTTACAATGCAAACTTACCCGTAGAAGGATTCAAATGTTACTACGAAGTAGTTAGAAAAAAAGAGGAAGCCTGGGATAAAGGGTTGTAAATCCTTCGTCATTCAAGCCAGAGAAATTCTCAGGGTGCCAGGCAAAGGGGAGCAAGCCATCCATTGCTTTCTCTCAGTTTTCTCAGCAAACTATCCTTATTTAACAGGGCTCCAGGAAATACCACCCGTGACCCTGCCAAGTCCGGCTTTACTCCTCTTAACCCAGGACAGTGATGCACCTCAAGTGACTGAGTGGGAAACATGACAAGTATAGCTAAAAGGATAACTAACGCATGCAGCCAGCGCCTCTGCCGGGCTGGGCTTCACAGAGATCGGTAGCTGAGCGCCTGGTCCTGGGGGGTAGAACCTTGCCTTGTAACTCAGGTGCACACAGCGAGCCTGTTCTAGGGATGCCTATCCTGCCCTTGCCCTTTGCTAAGGGGGGCCGCCCCTCGAAAGGCCCCACTGAGAGGACAGCAGCCATGTTGTAAAGCATCTGATACCCCATTTCTTCCCCTGTTCAGAGAACTGAACCGTGAGTGGCCATTGACTTGGGCGAAACAGAAATCGTGGCTGGCTGGTGACCTAGGACAAGTACCCTGGCATAGAAAGTGGGCTAGGCCAGGGCCTTTTCCTCTCGGAAGTCCCCTCTCCTTCACTAGAGAGAGAGCTGTTTTCCATTTTTCTCCTTCTTTTGCCTATTAAACTTCTACTCCTAAACTCAAAAAAAAAAAAAAAAAAGATGGGCCAGGCCAATAAATCAATCACATGCTGTCTTTGGAAGCTGAGGCCCTGAGGAGGTCAGCCCATGGGAACTGGAGCTGAAAAGATATGTTAAGACATGACTGGAGTTCATACCATACCCAGTGGCCAGGGCAAGCCGCCCTCCTGGAGAAGCAGAGACTGAGCGAGGAGAGGACGATGTCAGGGGACACAAGAGCCAGTGCAGGTGGAGGGGCAGACCCCAGAGACAGGACCTGTGCCCAAGGCCAGGGGGAGGCAAAAGGGAGTGACCCGGCAGGGAGAATCGTTTTGCACTGAAGCAAATCCTGGAAAATCAATGACCTTTCTTAAAATTTTTCAAATAAGAACATAAAAAAACAAGATTTTTAAAAATAGTTACATTGCATCCAATAAAGAAATATGTTTCGTCTTAAAATTTGAATTACTTTGTTGAACAGTCATGTTTTAGAGAAGACTGTTACTACCATTTGATTGCTGAAATATGAACATAAGGGCGTGGACAGGGTCCCTGCACAGGCCCAGCTTCCAGCCACTCTGGGTTTTTACGAGAATCCTGTCAACAATACTCATGACGCCAGAGTGCACATCACTTCGGGGACAATCCTAGAGCCACCTTGGGCTTGTCAGCACTGCCTGTTTCTCTTGAGTCATCTCAAGTGTGGTCCCATCTTTCCTGAAGCCATGACTAGACAAAGACCTACTATCCTTAATAAAACACTTAAACCTTCCTGTACAGCTCCTTAGGCTATGAAATCTCCTCCTGGATATTTAAACTGTAATAGCTATGTGTATCAAAAGCCTTACGATTGTACACTCAGCCAGCAATTCTAATGTTCGTCCTGAAGGAATAATCACAGTGTTGTTTTTAACAGCAAGGATGGAAACAACCTAAATGTGCAACAGCTGGGGCCTGGATGCATAAATGACAGAACAGCCATGCAAGGGAATACCATGCAAGCATCTGAAGGAATGTTCTAGGCTGGAGACAGCGGCTCACGCCTGTAATCCCAGCACTTTGGGAGGCCAAGGCAGCAGATCAGTTGGGGTCAGGAGTTCAAGACCAGCCTGGCGTTAACATGGCAAAACCCCATCCCTAATAAAAATACAAAAATTAGCCAGGCGTGTTGGTACATGCCTGTAATCCCAGCTGCTTGTGATCCCAGGTACTCGGGAGGCTGAGGCAGAAGAATCGCTTGAACCCAGAAGGTGAAGACTGCGGTAACCAGAGATTGTGCCATTGCACTCCAGTCTGGGTGACAGAGTGAGACTCCATTTCAAATAATAATAATAATAATAAATAAAGGTCTAGAAACACGTGCTGACAAGAGGATCTTTACATTAGTGTTACATTAAAGAAGCAAGGCATAAAGTGTTATGAGTTAAGATAGAGGTCCCAAATATATGATTCATTGGGAAGATAAAGCAGGTGACAAAACTGTGTAATTATATAATTATACTATCCGTTTTTTTTTTTAAATAAAATGTACATTTAAAAAAAATGTAACCTGCATGGCTAAATTCTAAATGGATATACTTTAAAATGCTATCAGTGCAAGCTATGGGCTGTGGGATACTAGGTGATTTTATTACCTTATCTCTATGAGTTTTAAGCCCATCATATAATTGTTTTAAATAGATAATACACTTACTTCTATGGTTCAGAAATTAAGACAGTATTAATGTTTACTGTGATAAGTCTCATCCTTTCCCCAGCCCTAACTCCCTCCCCCTTTCTATAAGTTACGATTTTTAGTGTTTTGTCATCCCAGTGTTTCTTTTACTAATTTATTTATTTAGTTAGTTTTTGAACTGGAGTCTCACTATGTTGCCCAGGCTGGTCTGGAACCCCTGGGCTCAAGTAATCCTCCCACCTCAGCCTCTTAAAGTGCTGGGATTTCAGGTGCACACTGCCATACCCAGTCTCTTCCCAATGTTTCTTTATCAAACACAAACAAACATAAATTCGTATTCTTGTTTCTCCTTTTCTTATGCAAAGACTTCTCCCATGGACACTACTGTGCACCTTGCTTTTTTCACTCTTTGGTAATTTTTTTAAACAAAAGCTTCAGAGTCCTGGTAGCGGATTTCTGTGCTCACTCATTCCCTCCTCTGTCACAGGTCCTGTTACGCCATGCAGCAAACTCTGTGAAAAGGGTGTCCATGGAGCTGGGTGGCCTCGCTCCATTTATAGTATTTGACAGTGCCAACGTGGACCAGGCCGTGGCAGGGGCAATGGCATCTAAATTTAGGAACGCTGGACAGGTGAGTCCTGGAAGTATTTCAGGATGTGTGTTTGTGTGTGCATGTGTGAGTGTGTATGTTTGTGAGAGGGTGTGTTTATTACAAAGATCGCACCACCTCTGCTGCCTTATATCCCAGAAGGAAACTTTTCGGTTCCTTCCATTCATTCTTTATTCATTGATTCTTTCAGCAAGTATTTAGAGTGTGCCTTCCTTTTTTTTAAACCAGGGACTATACGAGGCTCAGAGGGCCTCCCAAAAGTAAAGCGCAGCCCCGGGCTTCAAAGAGTTTTCTGAACAGCAGATGCCCTGTGGTCAAATTGTTCTCTCTTTTCTTCTTTCCCCTGCCCTTTGCATCTGGTTATTTTTATAGTTTTCTCTCATTGATCTTTTCTCTATTGAATGATAAAATCATCTGCTCAGACACAGAACAGCCTTGAACAGCTGGGGTCTCTGAGGCCCACAGTGTTAAGGGAAAGAAGGTAAGAAACTGTGGAGGGTGGTGGCAGGGAAAACTCAAAACCCTGCTGCCTGCTACGACTAGCGGGGCCCCGCTCTCGAGATGGAGGGCGCATCAAAGGCGCCCCACAGGGACAGGCGCATGCCAGCAGTGTTTCTGAGGGGTTCTGATTTCCCAGCCTGTCCTGGGGGAACAGAGGCCTGAGCTCATGTCTTCATAGGAAATCCTGGAATATTTGATCTATCCGGGACCGTCACAGTTATCTGCTCTACAGACGTTGCATTTTACAGATAAGGAAATGAAACTCTAGACAGAAAAAGTGACTTGAGTCAGACATCCCTGGGCCATAGTCTCAACTCTGCTGAGGAGCTGGGACTCTGAGCCCAGGGTCCTGTCTTCCACTTCTAGGATCTTGCCTTCTAAAATATGCGTCAACATTCATCGTAAGGGTGCCACCAGTATGCAATTTTAAATGCATTCTAGAAACAGAATAAATACCCCTGAAAGGTTATATGGGAAAAAAGTTATGAAATGTTGTGTGATCTTCTTTATCAGATGATTTTCATCCTTGCTTTGGCCTTTGGTAATAAAGTTTTTCTCTTTCACATAACCTAAATAAGCTTGGTTTTGTCAGAAATAGGTGTATTTTCCTTCATAAACACAAAATGCCAGTATGTGTTACCATCAGTTACACTATAAAGCTACATACAACTTAGGGATAGGTATGGTGGCTCACAGCTATAATCCCAGCACTCTGGGAGGCCAAGGCAGGAGGATCACTTGAGCTCAGGAGTTGGAGACCAGCCTGGGCAACAGAGTGAGACTCTGTCTCTACAATTTTTTTTTTTTTTTTTAAGACAAAGTCTCCCTCTGTTGCCCAGGCTGCAGTGCAGTGGTGCAATCTCAGCTCACTACAGCCTCCACCTCCCAGGTTCAAGAGGTCCTCCTGCCTCAGCCTCCCGAGTGACTGGGATACAGGTGTGCACCATCACACCCAGCTAATTTTTGTGTTTTTAGTAGAGACAGGTTTCCCTGTGTTGGCCAGGCCAGTCTCGAACTCCTGACCTCAGGTGATCCATCCACCAGCCTCGTAAAGAGCTGATTACAGGCATGAGCCACCGTGTGCAGCCAAAAAAATTTAAAATTTAAGTGGGCATGGTGGCAAGTGCCTACAGTCCCACGTACTTGGGGGGCTGAGGTGGAAGAATCTCTTGAGCCTTGGAGGTCAAGGCTACAGTGAACTCACCACTACTGCACTGCAGCCTGGGCAACAGACTGAGACCCTGTATCCAAAAAGAAAAGAACGTCAGTTGGTGTTGGACTGTATTCCTCTTACCCTCTGCTGCAGCATCCCAGTCTCCCAGGAGAACTGCATTCTTCCGCCTTCCCTCCACCAACCCCGCCATTTATTTTATGGATAAAAAAACATGGATTGGGCGGCTTTTTTCTTTTTTTTACATACAGGTCCTTACTGCCATCTAATCACAGGTGCATAGCAGCTGTGGAGGGAACTGGAGAGGAGCATGTGCTGACTCAGTGCTTTTATCTTTGGGGCCGAGCCCACGTGAGGGGGAAAATGGCAGGTTGCACACAGAGGGAACCACCAGGGGAAGCGTTTTCACCAAGAGGCAGCTTCTGACAAACTGTGTGGGTGTGTTTTTGTCTCCTGTCTAGACTTGTGTTTGCTCAAACCGATTCTTGGTGCAAAGGGGCATCCATGATGCCTTTGTAAAAGCATTTGCTGAGGCCATCAAGAAGAACCTGCGTGTAGGTAATGGATTTGAGGAAGGAACTACTCAGGGCCCGTTAATTAATGAAAAAGCAGTAGAAAAGGTAAGTTTATTGTATTATTAAATTTCATGGTTTCAGTATCAAATGCTTAATCAGCAAGAAACACTTTGGCTGGAGCGCGTGGGTACAGATATAGAGGGGTGGGTTGACAGAATGTTACAGCTAGACAGGAGGAATAAGCTCTGGTGTTCTCTAGCACTGCAGGGTGCCTGTAATTAGCAACAATGTATTTTCAAATAGCTATTATTAGAAGAGTGGATTTTGAAAGTTTCCAGTACAAAGAAACTATCCATATTTGAGGCTACAGATGTGCTAACTACCCTGATTTGGTCATCACATATTGTATACATGAATCAAAGTATCACACCATACTCCCCAAATAATGTCCAATTATCTTCTGTCAATTAAAATTAATAACAGCTAAAAAATAAATGATGTTGAAAGGCAAAAAAGTGAAAATAAATTTTAAAGAAAGCACAGAGTATGAGAGATCTACATCTATACATGGAGTAGATGGAGTTTTCAACTATATTTTCATTAAAAAACTACAAAGGTTAAAGTAAGTTAAAAAAAAAAATAACAGCTAAAAAAATGATGTTGAAAAGGAAAAAAAAAACCAAAAACTGAAAACAAAGACGTCATTTTTGTAAAGCGCCCAGCAATCCTATTTGGAAAACAGTGGAGAAACCCGGGAAAAGTGAATTTCTGCCTCCCAGTTTCTGAGTTGCGGGTGTCTGGTCCTGAGCTGCTGGCGCCCTGCCACCGCACCGAGGCCTCCTGCAGCCTGTCACTGCAGGTCTTTACTGCCTTCCATAAATTTTGTTACAGTGGTGGTAATTCTATCCTTCACTGCCTCAGCAAGTAGGATCTTGAGACAAAGTTCCTCTTTTGGAACACCTATGGGAAGACTGGCTTTGTTTTCAGACAGTTTGCATTTCAGCTATAATTCTGACGTTGTCCTGTTCTTTCTTCTCTTGATGAAAAAATCCTGGTCAAGAACACTCCTTGGTGAAAGTATCCCAGGCAGGGGCGCAGGATCGCAGATGCCATGTTCAGGATTTAGAGATGTTGAAGGGAAACTGCTTTTAAGAAAAATTTGTTTATTTAAAAAAAGTTCTAATCCACACTACTAGCTATATGAGACTTCTCTCCTTATTCTACTGTTTAAAAAAAAATCCTTTCTGGAGTGACAAGGAACTTTCTTATAATATCAAACATCCAGTATTTTTTTTTTTTTTTTTGAGACAGAGTCTCGCTCTGTTGCCCAGGCTGGAGTACAGTGGTGTGATCTTGGCTCACTGCAACCTTTGCCTCACTGGGTTCAAGTGATTCTCCTGCCTCCACCTCCTGAGTGCCTTCCACCACGCCCAGCTACTTTTTATCTTTTTAGTAGAGATAGGGTTTCACCATGTTGACCTGGCTGGTCTCGAACTCCTGACCTCAGGTGATCCACCTGCCTCAGCCTCCCCAAGTTCTGGGATTACAGGCGTGAGCCACCACACCCACCCAGAAATGGTTTTAATGGAATATTTTAAATCAGGAAGACAGTAGAAGCTGAAGATTGTGTGTGGGAAAGAAGGGAGGAGAGGTGGCTGGAGGGAGACACACAGTCAACGCACAGCCAGCCCCTGGGTACACCTGAAGAACCAGAAGGAAGCGAGAGCCAAGTCAGTACTCAGCACCGGAAGCAGTCGGACCGCTGCTTCTCAGCCTCCTCAGAGCCTGAGAGCCAACCCCTAACTCCATGGCTGCCTCCACTCCATGGGCGTCAACTCGGCTGAACCTGCATCCATTGCCTTGGGAAACCCAGGGAAGCATGGAGGTTTGACAGAGTTCTGATAAATTTCTAGATACTGCCTTGGGATTACTCTAGATAAAGAGAATACATTAAAGTTTACATTGGTACTACCTGCATTTTACAGGTGACTTTGGACCTTGGGGAAAAACCAGAGGTATTCACTTGTCTAGTGAAGGCAATTTGGGTCTAGGCCAGCTGTGGTTCAAGTCCTAGAGTGGTGGTCCTTAACGCACACCGTGCCATCACCAGCTACGGGTGCCTGGGACCCATCCAGGAAGACGGGGTGCTAGTTTATCTGGGTGTTGGTTGATGTGGAGTAGTCCTAGGCATTGGCATTTTTTAAGTGCCCAGGATGATGCTGGTTTGCAGCCAGTCTGGGAAACCATTCTGTCTTGGAAATGTTTTCCTGACAGGAAACACACAGACGTTACCCTGCAGATGGTGCTGCATGCCAGGACTTCAAACAAGCAGACCGCGAGATCTCTTTTTTTGCTGGAAAAAAGTTTGGTGGAAACTACCTTATTTAACACAGTTCATTGTGTTGCCTTTAGTATACATACTGTCATAGAGTGGGTTCCAGGAAAAAAAAACCTGCACCTCACGTTAATATGACAAGAAAAGGGCAGAGCAGATTATATTTGGGGACCAAAAGGGTAGACCCCTGTTAAGTAGAATTATTTCTAAAATATAAAATTCATAGGAAGTAAGCCATCCCAGCTAATGGGGATTAGTTGCAGATGACGCACTGTGAGAGCATTGCAGCGGGGCGTGGATGTTAAAAGAGTGAGTCTCAAAGACAGAATGCATCCATGCCTATATTTACCTTTCGGAAACCCTATAGAAAATTCAGCTGAAGGCCAAGCATGGTGGTTCACACCTGTAATCCCAGCATTTTGGAGGCTGAAGTGGGTGGATCACTTGAGGTCAGGAGTTCGAGACCAGCTTGACCGATAGTGAAACTCCATCCCTACAAAAAAAAAAAAAAAAAAAAAAAAAAAAAAGTAGAAAAATTAGCCAGACGTGGTGGCAAGCAGCTGTAATCCCAGCTACTCAGGAGGCTGAGGCAAGAGAACTGCCTAAACCCAGGAAGTGGAGGTTGCAGTGAGCTGAGATCACACCACTGCACGTCAGCCTGAGTAACAAAGTGAGACTTGGTCTCAAAAACAAAAAAACAGGAAAATCAGCTGAAAATGGAAGGGAAAACAACTCCAGTGAACTAAACATTGTAATGAACGTCTGGAACTCAGAAGGGATTGTGCTAATAGAAGTCAAAATAGATGGGTCTACCCAGGGGAAGCCTGCAGAGGAAGTTGGTACCATTTTAAATGACAGACCGTTTCTAGATCCTTTCTAGAATTGCTGGTATAGAAAATAGGGATGGGGCGGGGAGATGAAGCTGGTTGGTTCTACTTTTGCACAATTTTCTGGGTCCTTCCCACCATCCCTACCTACCACTACTACCACCAAGACAGCAGAGGCAGTTTTTCTGGGCAGGACAGTATTTCTGAAGAAATACTATCTTCCTTTGGGAAAGGGCGCTGCTCTTACGTGAAACCTGTAAGTTAGAATAAACCCAAACTTAAAACAGAAAGACCACTCAGGACATACATCCTCAAACTCATCAACCCAGTTCTTTTGTATGTGTGTGCCCCAGACACACTGCTGGGGCTGGGAGGGAGTCGACCAAGTTAGTTAGTTTTGACAGCTCAGCCCTTCATTCAGAAAGATGAACAAGCAAGGGTCGTGGTGTGATAACCAGCAGCACATAAGAGGAAGGGGCAGGAGGAACAAACACAACAGTCCCTGAAGGAAGCAGATAAATTAGGGAACTGGAAGGAATTTTCTAAGACTCTCATCGTGTCCTACAGGAGTTTTGAGAAGACAGAACATCTGTAAACTGTTGATAAGAAGGAAGTTCTAGGAAATGAAGCGGTGAAAACAAAGTCTGTAGAAATTGGACACAACTGTCACAAGATTCAGTAGCTGAAGATAGATAATAAAATGTAGGCAATCTCATGGAGTTTAAAGCAAATGATAGGCCAAAAATAGAGTAGAAATGCCAAAAAATCAGAACTAATCTGAACTACTAATACCTGTCAGAGTAGTAGGAGTTTTAGAATAAAATAATTGAGAAGATGGAGGAAGTGACATTACCAAGTAAATTATAGATGGAAACTTCTCAGAATTAGGGGAAAATAATTATTCTGCAGATTGAAAGATTTCACCGATTACCGTGTAGGATGAATGAAAAGGGAAATATATATGTATAATTAAAAAAAATATATATATATATATAAATAATCTCCTAGGATCTTCTGTGCTCCCATAGTCTAAAATTTAAGCTATATAGCTATCACATAAAAGGGTGAGGAAAAAGCTGTCACATAAAGGGTGAGAACCATTTTTGGCTCAGACTTCATCAGCAACACTAGAAGTGCAGAAGTGCAGTCTAAGTACTGAAGGGAAGTTATTTTGGATCAGAATTCTGTACTCAAGCAAATTATCAATCAGGTGGAGTACAAGATAAAACACCAGACACTTGGTGTACGAAAATTCAGAAAGTAGACCACACTGAGCGCATCTTTTTTAAAACAACTACTTGAGGAGAATGTGTGTGTCAGAAAGCCATAAACACTGAGTTCAGGAGAGAGGACTACATGGCATGCAAGAAGGTGGAAATAACGCAGAATGCAATGAAAGCAAATCCCAGAAACAGCTGAGCCTCAGGCCTAGAAAGAAGTGAATATATATTAGACCATGCAACACATAGGAAGATCCAACACAGAGAAGAGATCACAGAGCAAGGATGAAGGTGGCGCTCTTCCTTCTGAATCTCTGCAAACGTTCCTTCTACAAAAGGAAACCAGCATGCTTTATTTTTAACCTTCTTTTAAAGAAAAAAGAACTAGTTCTAGTTTTCTGCAGTTTAAATGTTCTAAAAGATTGTATCATATGGAAAGCTGTCTTTCTTCCTCACCACGCAGGTGGAGAAACAGGTGAATGATGCTGTTTGTAAAGGGGCCACCGTGGTGACAGGCGGAAAACGACACCAACTTGGAAAAAACTTCTTTGAGCCTACCCTGCTCAGCAATGTCACCCAAGACATGCTCTGCTCTCATGAAGAGACTTTTGGGCCTCTAGCACCAGTTATCAAGTAAGATCCTCCAGCCAGCGGGGATATGGGAGGAAAAATAGAAGAGAAAAGGGGAAACCCTGAAAGATTTCTGCGCTGCTTTGAGGGATGGCTAGGAGGTACACTGCTGCGTTGAGTCCATTAAAGAGCAGAGTGCAATTTATGGGCTTTTAAAAAACAAATCCTAACTTATTTGGACCAACAATTCAACAATTTATCAAATTCCTTTTTTTTTTTTTCTTTTTTTTGAGACAGAGTTTTACTCTGTATCCCAGGCTGCAATTCAGTGGTGCGATCTTGGCTCACTGCAACCTCGCTTCCCAGGTTCAAGTGATTTTCCAACAACAAACAGCTGGGATTACAGGCGCGTGCCACCATGGCCAGCTAATTTTTGTATTTTTAGTACAGATGGGGTTTTACCAACTTAGCCGGGATGGTCTTGAACTCCTGACCTCAGGTGATCCACCCACCTCAGCCTCCTAAAGTGCTGGGATTGCAGGTGTGAGCACCCAGCCTCAAATTCTTTCATTTACTTTTTCTTCTTTTCTGCTGGCCCCTTTTTTTTTTTTTTTTTTTTTTTTTTTTTTTTTTTTTTGAGACGGAGTCTTACTCTATCACCCAGGCTGGAGTACAGTGGCACAATCTCAGCGATTCTAGTGCCTCAGCCTCCCGCGTAGCTGGGACTACAGACACGTGCCACCATACCTGGCTAATTTTTTATAATTTAGTAGAGACAGGTTTTCACTATGTTGGCCAGGCTGGCCTCGAACTCCTGACCTCAAGTGATCCAACTGCCTCAGCCTCCCAAAGTGCTGGAATTGCAGGTGTGAGGTACCACACTCGGCCTCTTAATCTACTTTTATCCAGGGTTGTTGCCAAGAAATCTGATTCTTGCTTCTTTGAAAGGGATCTACTTTTTCTGTCTAGAAATGATTAGAATTTCTCTTGATCTTTGAAACTCTTAAATTTTACTGTCTGGTATGGCACAGTGAGGTTTCTCAGTTGAGGTCCTGATGTCTTTAATATGGTTGTTTTGTTTTGTTGCTGTTGTTGTTGTTGTTGTTTTGAGATGGAGTCTTGCTCTGTCACCCAGGCTGGAGTGCAGTGGTGCGATCTCGGCTCACTGCAGCCTCTGCCTCCTGAGTTCCTCTCTCCTCTGGCATATCCAGCATTGGATTCAGAGACAGCTGGCAGCTGGTGCTGTCCGTACCATCTTATCCAGGACCGGAAATCTTTCTTATTATGTATTTCATTGGCCTTGTTACATCTTGCTTATGAAGTTTATTTTTTATTCCACTATTGGGGAAATGGATCACTTGAAGAACACTCATCTTCTTTGTTTTAATCAAAACTTTTTACCAAAAATGTGAACTGGACGTTTTCACAGGAAACTGAAGGGACACACTGGCTGGGAATGCAGGCTTTGGAGTTGACTGTGATGTAACTGTACACTTTGCTGCTTCATGCCTGTGTGGCCTTGGACAAGGTGACCTTCCTGTGCTGGCTCTGCCCAGCCCCCGTTTGCAAGCCCTGCAGAGAGACAGCTGCTTCCCACTGCTAGTAGATCTCTGAATTTGGAAATTGGCGTGCTTAGAACTTTTTGCCCCAGTTACAGTTCTTGAACAACAGAAAAATGCCACTGACATCTTATTCCTGAAATAAGATTTTAAAGCTAGAAGGGATCGCACGGGCTTCCGTGCAGTCCCTCATTTCAGAGGGGAGTAGACTCCAAGCGTCATGACATTGTTGAGTGGTGGAGGACACATTAGAGCCTGGCCCCAGCCTCTTCTGAACGTTGTCCTTCTGCTATTTAGGAGGATTCTAAGGTAGTCGTTTAATTATTTTTTTTTTTTTTTTGAGACAGAGTCTCACTGTGTCACCCAGGCTGGAGTGCAATGGCACGATCTCGGCTCACTGCAACCTCCACCTCCCGGGTTCAAGCGCCTCTCCTGCCTCAGCCTCCCGAGTAGCTGGGACTACAGGCATGCGCCACCACACCCAGCTAATTTTATATTTTTAGTAGAGACAGGGCTTCTCCATGTTAGTCGGGCTGGTCTGGAACCCCTGACCTCAGGTGATCCGCCCACATTGGCCTCCCAGAGTGCTGGGATTACAGGCGTGAGCCGCCGTGCATGGTCGGTAATCCTATTTTTGTTTAAAGGGATTTTGTTTGATGTTCTGGTTATCTCACAGCTGCCTGCATATTGGTCTGCCTTTTTCTTGTTCTCTTAGGAGCCAGTGTTGATTTGAGCATGCCAGCCTTGATTGCTGAGTTATCTCGGGGAACGGTGTTGCTTTTTTCTGCAATCTGCTCTTGGATCTCTTTGCAAAACTCTGATTGACTCCTTGTGATTATTTGGGAAACGAATCAGAAGAAAAGAAAACTGGCTTCCTTTCCTCTCCCCCTTACATATTTTATGACCTATCTTAACTTTGGCAGGTTCGACACAGAGGAGGAGGCTATAGCAATCGCCAACGCAGCTGATGTTGGGTTAGCAGGTGGGTGTTTGTCCTTGTTCAACAGCAGTCATAATCGTTTTGCTCAAGCTCATGCCAGATGTACCTTTTAAACCTCACCCTGGGTTTTGAGACAGAAGCTTCCATGAAGTATGTGTTTTGTTGCTTTCCAAGTGGTGGAACGGATTTGGATTTGTGCAAGGACCCGTTTTTTTGCTTTGTCCCCATGATACACTTTTGGGAGCTCTCGAATTACAATGTGGGCAGGGAGAGCTGTGGGGAGACGAGAAGGTGCACATTATTCTACTTTTCTAGGTGGAGAACTGCACACATCTCCAAGTTCCACATTCTCAGAGACTTAATGCCCAGAAATTGCAAGTGCTTTTTCTTCCCTTTTGCCTGGCTCCTGTAAGCCTGACAGAAGAGGAAGGGCATCAGCAAGGAGCGTCAGGGACAGTGAAAGCAGTGAAGATGGTGTATGCAGCGGTGCCTCGCTGATGGCCACCCTCCCTTTAGTTTGGAGATGGTCCAGGTGGCCACTGCATGTACTCTATAACCCTGAGAAAATTATGTCATAGCATCCACAGCAGACGAAGTACTGCAGAAGATACAAAGACATACAAGATACCACTACAGCTCTACAAAAGCTTCTCTAGCTGTAAGAGAGCCATTTATACCAAGAGGAATGATAAGCATGCCACGGGGCCCCGCAGAGGTATCATAAAGCTGGAGAAAGATGTATACACAAGGACTTCTAACCCTCAGTTCAGCGCTTGTCTCTTCCTTCTCAATGGGGTGATGGTGGAGGAAGATGTACCCTGAACTAGGTCATAAATGATGGGCAGGATTCTGGTTGTGCAGAAATTGGAGGAGACGGATTCTGGGCAGAGGGCGCCAAGGAAGTTCAGAAGCAAAGTAAGAAAGGGTGAGGAGTGTGCAGCTGACAGGTTTGGAGAGGATGGTTGGTGACTGGAGTAATGGAAGGTGACACCAGAAATGTTGGATGAAACTCTGAGGGGAGAGGGTGTTGAATACCCACTGAGGAATTTAACTTTATTTTATAATCAGGAGTCATAGGAAAAGGCTTGGGCAAAAATGTCATGTAGAAATCTAACAGGTGTGCAGAGTGGACTGAATAGTAGCAAACAGGAAGAGGGCTTTGATAGGAAATCGTGAGAGTAGGATTGAAGCAAGAGGTGACTTTGAAAGGTTTTGACATGAAGAAGTGACGAGAGCAACCTGGGATTTTATATGGGAGCAGGGAAGATTCTAGGCCCCAGTGACTGCACAGTCATCAGTGCTGGCCTCATCTTTAGTCATGATATCTCTAATGACTATTCTAAATGCCGGTTACGTCTTTTATATCCATGGCAGGATATTTTTACTCTCAGGACCCAGCCCAGATCTGGAGGGTGGCAGAGCAGCTGGAAGTGGGCATGGTTGGCGTCAACGAAGGACTGATTTCCTCCGTGGAGTGCCCTTTTGGTGGGGTGAAGCAATCCGGGCTTGGGCGAGAGGGGTCCAAGTACGGTATCGATGAGTATCTGGAACTCAAGTATGTGTGTTACGGGGGCTTGTAGGAGTCTTTGCTTCTTTAAAAACATTTAAAAGGAGGCTCACCTACATATATAGGTACGTGCCATCTGTTATTTTAAACAAACTAATAGGTTTTCAGAGTTAGGAATTTTTCAAAACTCATCCGGTCCTCGTAATCTTAAGCAGATGCAAATCCTACCCCTGCCCTTAACCTAACTAGGGACCAATACGTGCCACGTGCCTGTGGCCGCAGACTCCAGGAGAACCAGCACTGGGTGTACAGAATGAGGCCCTGGCTCCTCACCGTGGCCTGGGCTGCCTGAGAGGAGGCACAGCGCGAGGCAGGCCAGCCCCTCGGCCGTCACAAAGGCTTGATCACTGCCGGGGCCGTGGCACCATTATCCCCCACGCGGCTCCAGAATATGGGCCCAGAGCAACTTGAAGGAGACCCTTGCCTGTGACTGGCGGGCGGGTGAGAGGCCCAGCACCCCTCCCCGGCACCTGCCAGCTCAGCACCGGAGACAGCGAACGTGCCCCTGGGGTGCTGCGGCAGTTTTCAGGAAGCCGTCTTTCAAAAACAATAAATAGCACGGAATTGTCTGTGCTTCCGAGAGACATGAAGGAGCACCTCTCCCTATTCCGGAACCAGTTTTTTACTTGACGTCTTTATTATCCTAAATTTACCGCTGAATTCTATTTTCATTTCTGTCCCGTTTGCCACTTCATTTCCCTTCCTTGAGGAAACGAGCTCAAGTGTAAAGCAAAGAATAGCCGGAGCAGCTCGGCAGGGTGGAAGGCATGCAGGGGCATGGCCTGGCTCCTTCCTGAGCCGCCTTGTTCCCTGGGGCGTGCGTTCAGCACCTCCCGCCCCATGCATACAGTGGAGATTCCATACAGGCCTTACTTAGCTCCCTGCAATATCGTGAGCCAGAGAGAAACTAAAAGTACTTCACAGAAAAGTGAAAATTCTAAGGAGATACAAGAGCCATTGTTACGAGCAGCGCTGCCCGGCCCTCTTTTGCCTACTGGCAATGGCTTTGCCAAGATGGGAGGAGGCCGATGCCCACCTGCCCACCCGCCTGTGCCTGAATGAATGGCTACCACCCGTGGCCTGTTCTTTCTGTCCCGGTGTGGTGCTGCTCCCTCACCTCCACAAGAGCAAAAGCACTTTCACCACAGTCAGCTCAGAAGGGAAAGAATTTCTGTAATTGCCAATCCAGTTTGCAGAAGAGGCATGAGCCCTTGAATTTCAGGCACCTTTTAGCTAGCAAGAGTTTTTACAGCTCATCATTCAAATAGCACACAAGAAACAAAAGCCCCTATGACCAGTGTTGCCTCTCACTTTGAAAGAAAGACTCTGTAATCTTAAACAGATGCAAATCCAATTAAGAAAATTCTAAGTTCTTCTAGACATGCCTCCTAGCAGAATAAAGGTAATTCCTGGCCAAGTAGGTGGAGATGAAGCACCTTCCTTTCCCCATCTTTCTCTGTGTAGCCTCCCCTTACATCCTGTGGTTATTCTGGGTTGTAAAAGGAAAATGTGAATGAAAGTAGTGCTAGATGCAATTACTCCTGAACTGCACCTGGGATTTAACATCCCTCACTGACCCACCGGGAAGCTAAGGTCGAGTGAGTAAAGGTCTGGCAAGTCCCTGTACACACAGGGAGCTGCCTGGCACCTGGCCTGGGGTGTACCAGCCACCTCCCCAAGGAGAAGGAAGAGCTGAAATTCATCTCCTAGTGACATGGCCCTGGCCTGTCAAGAATCACATACTCAGCATTTTGACAGCATTTTGCTCTTTATTTGTAGAGTTTTTAGGTGGTTTTATGTAACATTCTAATTATTTATGATTTAGATGTATCCATCCTTTTTCTATTAAGAATACAAATGCTCCAATGTTATTTTCTCTAAGTCTGGATTAGTAATGCTGAACTGTGTGCAGGAATACTTCCTAATACATTTTTAACATTGTAAGCCAGTAGATTCTTTGGTTGGGTGGCGAATTTTGAGTCTGCCTGCATATTTGGCTCAGAGGTTCATAAATTGAGGGCCAGAGACTCATTGTAATCCCCCTGATCCATTTTGTAATTAGAGGAACTGGCTTATTGTTTAGTCAAATGGTCCTTGTTTGTGGAAAGAAGGGGAGGTGTTTTTAACTGAACATTTTGTTGTCTTTTAAATAAAGTACCCATATGTGATGTGATTTTAAAAATAAATACATTGTACAACATGGACTAGAAAAGAGCCATCACATCAGGGGTTGGCAAACTATGGCCCACAAAGCAAATCTGGATGATGCCTGTTTTTATACAACTCGTGAGCTAAGAATGGTTTATATGTTTTCAAATGACTGGGCAGAAAATCAAAAGAAGAACAATATTTCATGGCACCTGAAAATTCTGTGGAATTCAGATTTCAGTGTGCATAAATGTGATCGAGCATAGCCGTCCCTATTCATTTATGGTACGGTCTGGGCCCGCTTTCTCGGCAGAGTTGAGTCATTGGGACAAGGACAGTACAGCCTGCAAAGCCTCGAATGTTTACTGCTCATCTCCTTAAAGAAAAAGGGGGGCAGCTCCTGATCTAGACCAGGAGGGAGAGATTGCCCTTACTTGCATTCATCAGGCATTATTTCATTTTACTGGACACCTCCTGTGAAGAAAGTACTTTTCCAGCATTGCTTCCGTGAGTTCCCAGAGGAACTTCCCGGTGATGATAACGCAGATGAATTTAGCCCTATAACAAGAGTCTATTGGCCTTGAAAAAACAGGTCTCCTTGAACTTCCTCCAGCTATGCTGGGATTCTCATTAAAGAGCTAATCTGCTTCTGTTTATCCATTTCAGTGGCTTTTGAATATGACTTTATGTGAAGTGCTATTTGTTTATTCTACTAAAGAGATGCGGCAGAATAAAAATCAGAAGCAAATGTAAGCAAAACTGCTTTATTGTTAACTTCAGTTATACACTTGAAATTGTGCCACATGACTTTTTCCTCTAAAGACTGGAGCCTAGTGTTTTAATTACCTATGTGCAGCTATTTTAAATAGCACTTTACTTGAATAATACTGACGCTGTCATTGTTTCATGCCGTACTTTGTGGGATAAAATTTAGGAATGAATATGGTGAGGAATTTATAAAGTTTTGCTTTTTAAACATGTGAACATAACTTATTTTTCTAGTTTCTGACAATTGTGTGTTTCAGAGTCTAGCCTGCAGACAGAGTTGTGTGTGCAATTAATAAATGTTGAATGAACAAACTTTCCTCTCCCGGTGTTAAGGTGTCTGGCTGTGCTTTTTCTCCCTGCTTGGTGATCATTTGAGTTTTTACTTATTACACCAGTTTGCATTTGTATAAAGAGCACAATTTCTCTCCTTCCCCAGAGAGCCGTCATCAGTCAGTCCCTCGGGGAAGCAGCTGGCATGTGAAACTATGATCCCAGAACCCAGAGAAGGTCCTGTCCATGGGATACGCTCATAGAATGTTTCCTAAGCTGAACCGAGAATTTATCTAGTTGCAGGGGTGGCGGTCACAGAAAGGGGTATAGTCCAGCCACCCAGCTGTCACAGATTGGGCTCTCTCTCTCTCCTACATGCTCCACTGTTATCCATTATATACTTTTTAAACTGTTTTTTGTTTGTGTGTTTGTTTTGGTTTTTGAGATGGAGCATCACTGTGTCACCCAGGCTGGAGTGCAGTGACACGATCTGGCTCACTGCAACCTCTGTTTCCCAGTTTGTTTTGGTTTTTGAGGTGGAGCACCACTGTGTCACCCAGGCTGGAGTGCAGTGACACGATCTGGCTCACTGCAACCTCTGCTTCCCAGGATCAAGCAATTCTTCTGCCTCAGCCTTCTGAGTAGCTGGGATTACAGGTGCCCACCACCATGCCAGACTAATTTTTGTATTTTTAGTAGAGACAGGGTTTGGCCATGTTGGCCAGGCTGGTCTCAAACTTCAGACCTAAAGTGCTCCACCCACCTTGGTCTCCCAGAGTGCTGGGATTACAGGTGTGAGCCACCACGCCCAGCCTGTGTTTTTAAAGTACAGAAAAGTATGAGGGAGAAACATTCTGAAACCCTGCTATCCAGATATAGTCACTGTTCATTATTTTAGCAATATGTATTTTTATCCAGTGTTCATTTATATTTTAAGGAATTTCATGTGAGGCCAGGCACAGTGGCTCACGCCTGTAATCTCATCACTTTGGGAGGCGAAGGCAGGCAGATCACTTGAGGTCAAGAGTTCGACACCAACCTGGCCAACATGCTGAAACCCCATCTCTACTAAAAATACCAAAAAATTAGCCAGACATGGTGGCGTATGCCTGTAATCCCAGCTACTCGGGAGACTGAGGCAGGAGAATCACTTGGACACAGTAGGTGGAGGTTGCAGTGAGCCAAGATCTCACCACTCACTCCAGCCTTGGTGGTAGGGTAAGATTCCGTCTCCAAAAAAAACCCCAAAAAAATTTCATGTGGCCTCATTGAATCTGAAATTGTTTCAGGAAGCCTTTAACAAAGGTAGCATCTTCACCAGAAGAAAGAACGGTGTCACCAGACACATGTCTCCCTTTGTGAGTCCATTTATTTTATATATTTCTTTTATCCTGCTTTTGATTTTTAAAATTATTTTGCTGCCAGGAGAAACTATCCAGTTACTTCTCAATGTGTGGGTTTTTTACATGCTAGACCTAAGCCTCTGCTTAGAAGGAAATGTATGGTCATCTTCCTGGTATTACTTTCACTAATTATCATCATATGTTCACCTGTTATAGCTTCTTGATGTGCCATTTAGCTTACAACACATTAAAGGGCAAATTAGTGTGGTTTTTATTAATCAAGTATGGGAGACCTATAATCCATCACATAAACAGAGCCAGTGACAAAACCACATGATTATCTCAACAGATGCACAAAAGGCCTTTGACAAAATTCAACAGCCCTTCATGCTAAAAACTCTGAATAAACTAGGTATTGGTAGAACGTATCTCAAAATAATAAGAGTTATTTATGACAAACCCACAACCAGTATCATACTGAATGGGCAAAAGCTGGAAGCATTTCCTTTGAAAGCCGGCACAAGACAAGGATGCCCTCTCTCACCAGTCCTATTCAACACAGTATTGGAAGTTCTGGCCAGGGCAATCAGGAAAGAGAAAGAAATAAAGAGTATTCAGTAAGAAAAAGAGGAAGTCTAATTGTCTCTATTTGCAGATGACATGATTTTATATTTGGAAGACCCCATCACCTCAGCCCCAAATCTCCTTAACCTGATAAGCAACTTCAGCAAAGTCTCAGGATACAAAATCAATGTGCAACAATCACAAGCATTGCTATACAACAGTAACAGACAAACAGAGAGCCAAATCATGAGTGAACTCCCATTCACGATTGCTACAGAGAATAAAATACCTAGGAATACAGCTAACAAGGGATGTGAAGGACCTCTTCAAGAACTACAAACCACTACTCAATGAAATAAGAGAAGCAAATGGAGAAATATTCCATGCTCATGGTTAAGAAGAATCAGTATCATGAAAATGGCCAGACTGCCCAAAGTAATTTATAGATTCAATGCTATCCCTATCAAGCTACCATTGACTTTCTTCACAGAATTAGAAAAAACCACCTTAAACTTCATATGGAACCATAAAACAGCCCACATAGCCAAGACAGTCCTAAGCAAAAAGAAACAAAGCTGGAGGCATCACGCTACCTGACTTCAAACTATACTACAAGGCTACAGTAACCAAAACAGCCCGGTACTGGTACGCAAACAGAGACAGGGATCAATGAAACAGAACAGAGGCTTTAGAAATGATGCCACACACCTACAACCATCTGATCTTTGACAAACCTGACAGAAACAAGCAATGGGGAAAGGATTCCCTATTTAATAAATGGTGCTGGGAAAACTGGCTAGCCATATGCAGAAAGCTGAAACTGGGTCCCTTCCTTACACCTTATACAAAAATTAACTCTAGATGGAGTAAAGATTTAAACATAAGACCTAACACCATAAAAACTCTAGAAGAAAACCTAGGCAATACCATTCAGGACACAGGCATAGGCAAGGACTTCATGACTAAAACACCAAAAGCAATGGCAAGAAAAGCCAAAATAGACAAATAGGATCTAATTAAACTTAAGAGCTTCCGCACAGCAAAAGAAACAATCATTACACTGAATCAGCAACCAACAGAATGGGAAAAAATTTTTGCAATCTACCCATCTGACAAGGGGCTGATATCCAGAATC